TTTTCTCTCAAGCGAAAAATACCAATTTTCGCTCAAGCGAGACTTGAGTAAGTGAATTTCCGTGAGCTTTAACATATTTTCACTCAAGCAAAAGTCAATCACACTTTCACCCTCGATCGAAAAATACCAATATAATTTATTTGTAAGTTATTATCAAAAAATTATAGTGGTTTAATGGTTGGGATATTAACTTTCAACCCTAAAGTACTGGGTTCAAATGCTATCAGTGACAATTCATTAACTTAAGAGAATTTTTGGTTGAAAATAAAAATAAAAATATTTTCCAGAAAATATATACAAATAAATATATATTTACATGGATATATATTTATTTGTATATAAATATAATTTATTTGTAAATTATTATCAGAAAATTCTAGTAGCCTAATGGTTGGAGTATCAGCTTTCAACTCTAAAGTACTGGGTTCGAATCCTGCCAATGACAATTTTCAAATTTAAGTGAGTTTTTTGGGTGAAAAAAAAAAGACTTTCAACGTCGGTTTATATGGGAACCGACGTAGAAAGTACTTTCTACGTCGGTTGACTAAAAACCGACATAGAATGTGTTTACTATTCAACTTTCAACGTCGTCTCATCTGGGAACCGACGTGGAAAGTACTTTCTACGTCGTCTCAGCTATAACTGACGTTAAATGACGACGTAGAAAGTATATTTTGTAGTAGTGTTTCCGTCAATTTCATGTTCTTAGTTGTGGCTTCCTTAAGAGCTTCTTGCAGTTGAATTGCCTTAGGCTTAACTTCCTTGAGATTTTCCTTCAGTTGAGCTTCTTCCTTCTTGTTGAAATTAGTTTTTTCCTTAATTTGTTTAAGCAAATAAAACAAATCTTTTTTTAGGGATACCTTTTGTTCTTCAATTTTCTTTATGCGACTGACTAGAAGGAGTTCTCTCTACTCCTAGTCAACATTGGAGTTCTCAAATACACTCTTAGAACTTTCAATACTATATACAAGAACATCAATCTCATGTTCAACCTTATCGAGCTTGGACTCATTTTCACTATAACTTTCAATAATAACTTCAATCATCTAAGTCTCGTATTTCACGTTTAACTTGGATGTTTAGTAGATTTTACTCTCTTCTTTACCTTCTACAAATATTTCATATAAAATATAAGCTAATTTTTTCATTACCTTTTTACTCTTTTCTTCATTCTTAGAATTCTCCAATTAAGTTTGTTTTTTTTCTTCGATTAGAATAATCCCTAATTATTTAGGGTATAAATTATAAACCAACACCAAACTCTAATTATGCCAAAAAAAAAAACAATGTTGGTCCTGCATGTAATGAATGACATCTGAATCATACTATAAAAATATAACCATTGTAAAACTAGTTTAAGGACAATACATAAGATAAACAAATTGAAACACAAACTTAGAACAGAATATATTTAAGTTTATTATGATTTTTTATTCAAATATACAAAGAATATATTAAACATAATTTAAATAATAAGGTATATAATTATTAAATGCCAAAATATATATTTATGTTTTCAAATATATATAATTTTCAAATAATATTATGATTTTAGAATTATATTTATTCTTATACATTATGTTTAATTATAGATAATTTTAATTATATTTGAGTTGAATTGTGTTTAATATATATTATATTTTCTTAAAATCATAGTTAAATTGGATTTGAAAACTGAATTTGGTATATATATATATATATATATATATATATATATATATATATATATATATATATATAATTATAGTATAGGAGAAAATAAAATGCATTTAAAAGTTTCATGAAAAAAAAATTAATATTGTATTAATAAAAATAATTTTTTATAATTATCGATAGATATATTCGTCATTAATTATATTTTATCGACGAATTATCATAATGATAAATTACTTAAATTCATTAATCATATTTATCTATAATAAAAATTTTGATAAATATTTTTCACCAATAATATATGTTTTTTTTTACAATTTTTACATTTTTGAAGAATATTAATAATGCATAATATTTATCATATTTAATGTATTTTAAAGCGTGCATTTTCAAATAATATATTATTAAAATAGATCATACAATTTAGTTATATAAAAAATAACTAATTTTTAACTTATTAATACACATATTTCATTAATAAGAATTATCATCAAAATATTAAAAATTAATGTAACTATTATTAATTTTTTATTTTTTGTTTTTATTTCTTCTTAAACTATAAATCTCGTACTCATATATATATATATATATATATATATATATATATATATATATATATATATATATATATATATATATATTATAATTTAAAATATTAAATATAACTATTAAAAATAAGACATATAACTTAATATTTTAAAAATATAATATTACTGTATCTTTGTGACATTTTATGATATTTTTTTTATTTTAAAGAAGATTTTTCATCATATTTTTCTTGATAAATTTTTATAATTAAACTTAATATGATATCATATTAATAATAAATAGATATTTAATTCAATTTTATAAATTTAATTTAATAAAATAAAGATTATATTTATTTATATATTATAATATTATGTTATTTTTCGTTTCAAATAAGATTTTTTATCAATGTCACAACGTAAAAAATAAAAAAAAATTAATAGGAATGTATAGACGGGGAAGTGTTGACATTTGATAATGGGAATCATCTAGATTTTCTGTTGTTATATGTAGTTCACATATTCATTCACACATCTCAATTACAAGACAAATTTAAAATTGAAACAATTTGATCTTCATTCAATAAGTTAGATTTATGTGACTAAAACTCTACACATTTTCAATTACCCAAAATTGGTTCACCACTCATAGTGCATGAATAGAGAAACATTTTTTAAGTAGAAGAACAAGTAGCATATGCGCCCGCCACATGCTAACTTAGTTGTCAAAATTGAATGTATGATTGACTTAAAAAAATATTTTAAGGTTTCGTGTCCAAATTTTGTTTAAACCTAAAAAAAGAAAAGAAAATATCGTATTAGAAAAACCATGGAATCGATTATTAGATTAATAGACAATTTTTTTTTCACTTGACATTTTTTTTCTTTTATATTATATAACTATTTTTGTCATTGAACTGGTTTGTATTCGCTAGGATACCCAGTCAGTAGTAGGGCAGGTTAAGGTCAGGGAGTGTCATGACGACCCTAAGTCCAACGACGCTATCTTTGTGGGTTGAGGAATACGTTGCATATTGCGACAGTCTTTGCAAAAATATTTAGTACATTTGTGGGTTGAAGAATACTTTGCATATTGCGGCAGTCTTTGTAAAGAAAAATATTTTCATTTTTTTTACAAATTCTCTTTCTTGTCTGTTTGTGTGTTTTTCTTTTTATCACTAATTGGACCGAGAGTATAAGTATCAAAGTGTGAACCTTTACTATGAGCTATAGTTACTAAGTGGCTACCGCTGCGTGCTCATCCTTATATTATATAACTATTTTTCATCTGTACTTTTACTAATATAAATAAAAAAGAAAGCAATTTGAACGATGACTATGAAATGTTTGCGATTGAGATAGAATTTTACGAACTTAGTGGGAGAGAGATTCGAATAAAACAACACAAACAAGGCACGGATTTCCTTTATTTATGAACAACACCTTGATCTAAGTCAAAAGATGGAGAAAGATATGTTACAGTGGAATACCTTTTTATTAATAGAGTGAAATACTTTTTTTTTTTTACTTTTGTTTATTATTATGAATTTGACAAAAGTAAATAACCAATTGTTTCCTACCAACAAAAATTACTTGTAGTGGTTAATGATGATGTTGATAGTGTTATTATCAGTGTTATGTCGCTTTTTTTTGTCGTAGTGTTTGGAAGGATGATTTAGGGATTGACTAAATTCATTCAAAAAGTCCTGATATTTAAAATATCAAATGGATCTGAACTGTAATGTTTTGAGTAATTACTAGTTGGATAAATATTATTAGTTGGATAAAAATAACTCACAATTCATTCTTTAATTCTAAATGTCTTGTATAAAGTATATTTACTAATCAATCAAAAGTGAAAACTTATACTTTCGAAATTTACCTTGAATCAAAACACATAAAAGTTCTAAATAAATTTCCACCATCACTAACTACAGATATTTTAGTGCTTTAACTTAGATTTTTACTTGTCCACGTGAAAAAAAGTTCAACATCATGAATAAATTTTTATATAAATAATGTGCCACAAATTATTAGAGAAGCACTAACACTTGTTAACCTCACTTAGCCTTCAACTAATTAATGTTGAAGATACATTTGAAAGAGTTTTATAACGTAAACGATAAAAATAAATGTTGAAGGAGTTTTATGTCTTTAAGTGAGATAATTTGGTTAAACTTAAATTAATGAGATTTTAAGTGGCTTTTCAAATATTGAAAGGCCAGATTTTCTTTTCTTTTTTCTTTTTTTTGGTAAATACTGAAAGGCCTGAGTGTACTTTAAATGGATAGAGCCTTTCTTAAATTTAAATTTAACTTATTTATTTGATATTCATTTTTTTTATACTTGAATTCGTATTTTGTAAACGTTGACCCAATTTACTAGTTTATTTCAAATTAAATATTTAATTTAATACTCTCTTTGTGTTTTTTTCAAATTCTTATATTTTTAGAAGAAAATATTTGTATTTATATGTTATTGTAAAATATAAGATAATATTAATTATATTTTTACCCATTATATTTTTAAAGTTCAGCAGTTCCTTTAATTATTAACCAATAGTTATCAAACTATAACAATCTACAATTTATTCAATCCATTAAACCAGATACTAATCCTGCAGGGATATAGTAATTGACCAGATTCCCTTTTTCACACAATGATTGCAGCTAAATATTTGGTCCCCAATTAATTACTGCTACAGAACAAAGAAGCCAATGAGACTTCTTGTTATGTTAATTAGTTTAATAATATTGTTACATCTGCATAATTCATACATCTTAAACGTACATGACAGATGGTAATAATGGGCAATATAGCCTATTGTTTATACATGAAAAGTTTGTATTTTTTTATATTCTTGCTAATTCCACGGATTGAACCAATGGCGGCTACTACTGAAACAAGGAAGCACAGAAAGCTCAATAGCTGGAGCACACACCATTTCAATGATAATCTTTTGATCTGTTTCTGTGCAATGTGCATTTGTACGGGGAAAAAGACGATGAGAGGCCAAAACCCAATTGCTCCAAGAAGGGCTAGAAACTCATTGAAAAACGGCATGGCCATGGCAATGGTTGTGGCCACTGCCACGTATATTGTCCTCCAAATTAGCCTAAACAAGTTGAAACTGAATGTCAAGGGTCCTATTTTTGTTGGGTATTCCTTGTTTATGAAATCTGAACGTGGCCACATCATGTTAGCACCCATCTCAATTATGCGAAATAGTGGTTGAGCAAGCACCTGTTTCATTACATGATCATTCATAATATCTCACATTAGACATTATAATTTAACATATACAAGTTGAATTATATGGTTAAAATTTGCTATTGTTTTTGCCTTTGATATTCACATTATCCTATATAAATAGAGAAGGAATGGAACCTGATATGCTCCCACCATGTGGGTTACAATGCACACATTGCCAAGGGCAACCAACCAGAATGGCTCGTAAAATCCAAAGCCTGTGAGGATGTTTCCAGGTGTGTGATCCCCGAAAGCAGCATAGCCAAGGCCACCACATAGCAGGAAAAGTAATGTCATTGTTGTGATTCCAAACACGTTGGCCTTTTTCATCTGTTTGCATTCGGGTGGATATGACTTCAACGTGTCCTAAATAATGCACAAATAATCAAATTGAATGACTTGCAATTCCAATTTGCTATAGCAGTGAACTCTATCTGTTTAACCAAACAATGATGTGTTCTTTTACCATTATATCATAAACAACAGTCGCATAAGAACAAGCAAGTGCAATGTTTCCCAAAGCACTGAAAACCCTCCAAATTTTGTCAGCTTCTGATAGTCCTGGCCCTACTTTGTTTCCAAATATACGGGTTGGTTCTCCTTTACCTGTTCACACAAACAGACTTCATTATGATGCAGTGGAAGCCTCCAAAAATGAAACTGGTGAAAACCTCTCTTAGAAATATGTACTGTTAAAATTTCGGAATTAGAGTTGGAAAGTTTTTGGAAAAATATATATAGGTGAAAATCATACCTGGGACCACGACTGCCAGAGAAAGGCCACTTCCAATGAATGCATAACCAAAAGAGGTAATAGCAGCAATGGTTGAAAGATATGTTAACTTGTGAAAATTTGGGATTTGTGACAGTAAAATTTGCAACACCCCAAAACCAATCATATAGGGATTATTAGAAAACTTGCAATAAGCTTGGTGACCTCTTTTGTGAAAGCAGATGGCCTTCTTTATAGCGCTGCCAAATAAGGGGAATTCAGAGTCCCTCATCTCATTAGATTGTGATCACAATTATACAAAAAAAATAGCTTATCAATAATAACATACGTACACCAAACTAGTAGACGAAGTTATAGTGTAACCCACAGTAATCCCAGCAAGCTTCCCATACTGAATCAATCCACAGAACACATGCATTTTTCCACCTAATCATCAAGTTGAAAATACTAAACTAATGAAAACATTTTGAAAGAGTCTTGAATATACGTAGATGATTTTGTTTATAGTAATGCATTTAGACAAGCTTGTAGACATATATGGTACCAAGATATGCATGCACGGCCTGCATGTAAGTGTAGTTCCTCTTGCCATTAACTGGGTCAGGATATCTGTAACAATCAGCTATAAGATTGTAAGTGTAAATGGAAATGCATGCAAAAATGATCATGGTGATTATGCCGGGTATCCATCCTAATTGGGCCATGGCCCATGCCAGAGCCAGCACTCCTGCTCCTACCACCACCGTTATTATGTGCATGGTAGTGGTGAACACATTCCCTGCAAGTAACACAAAATGAAAGAGCTGAAACCGGTGAAAGTGGAACTATAATGGAATAGAATATGGTTGGTCGAAAAAAAAAAAAAAAACAAACAGGTTATTCATTGGTTTCTCCGAAGTGCACACCTGTAACCTGTGACAGTTGTTTTATGCGCCTGAAAAATCACTTTCTGCAATTCTTTAATCTTTTAGGTTCATCAATTAAGAATGTAAAATTATATTTAGGATTGACCAATCCAGATCGTTGTGACTTCTGAATTGACTAAAAGTAAAATAAAAATAAAAAATTAGATTAATACTTGAAGAAATTTTCAGAGTGCAGATAGCAACTGCTGTACTCTGTTTTTGGTGACAAATCAAAAGGGGCGCATGAACCACAATTTTTCAGTGAGAAGTTTAAAAGAATTAGGTTAAACAAGTTTATCTTCTAATTAAAAGGAACTACAATATTATAAATATTATCTTTTAATTAAAACTATCATAATTCAATAGCATATCTTAACGTTTAATAATACTGCATTTAGATTGAAAAAGTGACCAACAACACGTTTATCTTTGTTTTCTTCTTCTCTTGTAATGGTTTATCTATATTATATTTTTTTTATTATACTCTCCTTGTTCTTATTTACGAGAAAAAAATATATAAGTAAATTTTATTCATTCGATAATATTTTTCTTAAAATATCTTAATTTTAATTATTATCAAACATATTTTGAATACACCATTATGAACAACTTTTATTTTACAATATACTAATCACAATTAAACTGTAGAAAATTTAATATATTTTACTTACTTCTTTATTTTACGTAAAATTGTTATTATTTTTCTTACAAATAATAATTGAGGTAATTCTTATTATCAGGCAGAAACTTTCTTTTTTATGAACAATAATTGAGTTACCTAAACATGGGTGCCTTCGGATAAGAAATCACGTGCTGTGGAGTTTCATCAATTATTTTGAGAAGTAAAAGTAAGGAAAAAGGTTTTTTTTTATATCCAATTTTTTCAAACATTCTCTACGGATAATCCTAGAATATTATTTTTTAATTGATTAATAGAAAAAAATATATAAAATCTAAAAATGGATGGTTGGTTAATTTAAAAAAAATAGATTCTCAATATATCATAATCCTATAAAAGTAATTAATCATATCCACATCCTAAAATTTTATAATTTACACCAATTTTATTTCTTATATATATTACTACTTTTTACCATTTTTACTATAACCACTGATGAAGATAATGGAAGCATACTAACCAGTTCTTTTGATTCTGCCATCGTCATCCACCTCTGCACTCTCACAAACCCTCTTACCACCTTCAACTTCCATCGTAAGACTCCTTGCAACTCACTATCTTAGAAAGGAATCTGATTTCGAAGCACACCACCAAAACATCAACCACTAAAGTTCAATAAAAAGAGACATAATCGAAACCAAAAAATCGTTCTCAGTTTATATATACATACCTGTTTGTTTCAAATCAGAATGCTCTGTCAATTTTCTGCTCTCTGAAATTCGAGTGTTTCTCGCTTGCTCATTTTCTCCAATGTTAACAACTTATCTTGCTTTGTGCCAAATACGCGTTTCCCTTCACCGTGATTCTAATTCTTTTTCTTTTTTTATTTGTATATAGTAATAAGTAGAAACTGTAACTAGAATGCGACACAACAATATCGTATACGTCTTATCTGTTCTCTCGTAAAGATTATTTCTGTTCTCCTTTATGCCCTCTGATATGATTTATTTCTCATCCGAATTTATGATTTGGCTTGATATATAACCTCCCCTCAACCTCGTTCATGTACCAAAATGATGTTCCACTGTTTCAAATATATTTTTTTCTTTATAAAAATAAGAAGTAACTGTGATTCGGTGAAAAGAATGAAGTAATATAAGCGTGTTATCAGTGGGGTATCGATTACATTCGGGAGTTTTTGGTGTTATTTTTAAAAGTAAGAAATTTTGTATAATTTAAGAAACACTTGCAGTACTAGAATACTTCTGCTACGCACAAAACATCAAACAATGATAGATTCGTGAAAAGTTCCTTCTGGAACTAGCTGAGTCATATTTTCTAGTATTAAGAAACAAGAGTAACACTATTGATGTTCCTTTTGGGCCTAACCATTGAAGTTGGGTCGAATAAATACTACCTTCCTTGGAAATAACCTTATTCTTTAGTTGAATGAAGGATGAGACTTTGTTCTCAGATAAGACTCCCCTTCAAGTAGATTCGGATTCACTGATGATTGCATAGAGTAGTTTTATCACTATTGAAACAAACATTTTGCTTGTTATTCTACTGTCTGGTTGTCCTTTAATGTCTGGTATGGTAAAGTGGAAAAAAAAAATTGGAAGAGAAAAGGGTAAAAAATAAGTATATAAAGAGATAGTTTGGGGAGAAAAAATTAAATTTGTGTTTAGATTCGAGAGGGAATTTGAGATAATGGAAAAAGAAAATAAGAGCGAAAAATTCGATTGTTTGTTTTAACAAAAAAGAATGAAGAGAGGAAAAAAAAAGAAAATCATAGAAAATGAGATTAATCTTATTGATTAAAATATAAATTTATTAATTTTAAATATATTTATTTATTATTTAATTATTTATTATTATAATAATAAAAAATAAAAAATTGAAATTATATAAAAATAAAATTAACTATATCTATTCATTTTCTTCGTAGGAGAAAAGAAAAAAAAAGATTTTTTTCTTTTTTCTAATATTTTGATTACCGCAATTTCTCATAAAATTACTTATTTTCCTAATTCTTCCTGCATCCAAACACAAAGGGAAAAGAAGTATTGTTTTTATTTATTGCTAATTTTTTATTATTCATTATTATTATAATTATTAAATAAAACACAAAATAAAATAATAGCTCTATAATCGATTATATATGAAAGATGTTCTCAACTCTTGAAAGGATAATTGTTGGATTTATTGGTTTTGGTTGGGGGGTGACCCTAAAATATTAGGCATGGACATGTTTAGAAACCGGTTGAAACAATGGTGAATACATATTTTCTTTACTTTTCAATATGCTAATGAGAAGAAAGTAAAGAGTTTGATTCACAAAAAATAAGCACACTTTATAACTTGAAATAGACAGGTAAGTTACTAAAGAAAATGGCAATCTATAATCCAAATAGTGAAGACATAAATTCATTAGCATAAACAGTAACTAAAGAGGTTTGAGTTAACTTCAATACCTTATTGTTTTTTCCTGAGACTATACATAATCAATTCAATTTGTGCTTTTTCTACACATAATCACATGTTGCTTTCTTCATAACCAAATTGTTAACTTGCACCACTTTTACTTTCAAAAACATTTTTGGAATATGGAACATATATGTGGAGATTGAAGGTAGTGTAGTGGTTTGTTTGAGTGATGGCACATGTAATGTTAGCTATGTGTCATTTTCGTAGGCAATGATGGTATTAGTGTTGGCCTTGTAGTGGATGTTAAACATCATTTGATTTAGATAGACACCAATGTAGTGTTTTTTTTTTTCTTCTTGTGGGGATCCCAAGTTAATGTCTATTTTTTGGCCAACTTTAGTTATTGTTGACTAACCAAAATATGGTTGCACCTGTGTATCTTCTGGCTTTGGAGCCTAGGAAGACAAGAAGATTCAAATATTAAATAAGTTTAACAATTTAAAATGTTTAAAAATAAAATTAATTTCAACTAATATTTACTCTAAACATTATATCAACTAAACCAATACCATGATTGATAAATTTTAAATAAAAATTACATAAAATAAAGTACTTTCAAATCTCTTCATGCCACGAGTCCAAGTGGGATGACATAGTTGAATATCATAGAGAGGGTGCAACAATAGTTACAAATATAGTAAATGTGAAAGAAACATTATTATTAGGAGGAGAAGCTAAGGATGTTGGTGGAGCAATTTATGTGGTCACTATGCAATGTTTGTCATTGAACCAGAATTTGTGAACTACATGAAGTAGTGGTGGTGGGATTGTTTTTGTCGTGATTATAAGCATGAATAGAACAACACAATTGAGACCACAGTAATCCACCCACCAGCTTATGTGGCTATTGTGGATGATGTACTATTCTGGTTTTGATTTTTTTGTTTCTTTATATATTTTTCGACACTTGTAGATACACTTTATGAAAATAAAACATAAAAACATACCACTCTTTGTGATATATCTTTAAAGACGCTGAACATCTGAGAGAAAATCGATCTCTATTAAATTTATCTTCACAATAAGTGGGCATCAACAAGAAGGCCCAACTAAGCCCAACAAAGGTCCAAAATTGGAAGCCCAAACCTCCTTTTTCCTTATCAAACCCACTCTTTCTCACCAACCCAATCCTAAATTTGTTGTCGAAGATTTTCTATTTCTGACTAATTAGTCAATCATATTTAATATTTTTTTTTCACGGATCCTAAAACCAATCGTACTAACTTATTTTATCATTTTTTTATTTTATGAAATATTAATAAATTGTTAAAATGACTATATATATATATATTAATAAAAAATGACATAATTTTGAAAAATAATCAAATTAATTTACGAATAACTATCTTAAACACAATATTTTAAGAATAATAGTTATAAAATGTAACATAAAAATATATTAAAAATCTTGAGAAAAATATATTGATGATACAAATATTATAATTTTTTTTATATTTATTGGGTATGAAATATTTATGGACTTTGTTAACAAAAATAATTATTTTTCATAAAATTTGATCACTTTTACTACAATTTTTTCTTTTAACTATTTTTTAATCTCCAAATGTTATAATTTAAGTAGTTTCTATAGAAGAAGTTCATTTGAACTCTTCATTTTCTTTTAACCAGTTTTACATAAAATGTAAATCACTCAACTAAAGTTTCAAAGCATTTATTTATTCACATTATGCTTTCTATTTTAACATAAAAATATTTTTTATATAACAATGCTTTTATTCAAACAACTTTTATAATAACTTGTTTACTTTAGCAAGTTCTTTTTCAAAAAACATTGATATATATGAACAACTCTACATTTATTTAACAACCCAAAATATTAATATAATAATAAATTTTAATATTATATTGGTATAATCGGTTGCATTTCAGTATTTAGGTTGTAAACAAACATTTTCCGTGTTCAAAACTATGAATGTTTAAATTTTATATGCAGACAGTAATCAAATTTAAAATGAGATTTGATTTGTTCAAATGCTATTTTTTTTTAATTTAAAATATGATGAAAACTAATGATTTACAAATTATTTTTTACCTTAAAAATATTCAACATATAATAATAATAATAAACAAACCATTTTTAATTACTAATATAAAGATATTAGTTAATAAATTGATATTCTAAGAACTATTTTTAACCAAAATTGATATTGAATGTTTTTCTCATGGCATAGGAATGGTTAAAAGTAAATATTTTATTATAAGTTGTATATTTAAATTATTTATTTAAAATTAAAAGAAAATTATTTAATATTTAAGGTCAAAATTTAAATAATTTATAAATAAGATTTATAAAAAAATATTTAATTTATTTTTAAATAATTTTTGTTAGAAAGTCCTTTAATATGTTCTTAATTTCTTAAATTTCTATTTTATCATTGTTTAAAAATAAATCATGAAAATAAAAAATAATATTAAAATATAATACAATTTTTTTCGTAAACTAAAATACAATTAATGTATTTAAAAATATGGATTTATTATAAACTTTAATCATAATACAATTTATGTATTTTAAGAATAAAATTATTATAAATTTTAATGATAGAAAATAAATATCCATCATTTCAAAACACAAAATCTGGCGGGTCGACCCACTGGTCACCGAATGTCCATGCCCAGGTTAGTTAATTAATTAATTAACACTTTTCTTTGCATTGACGCTGAATCCTGGTTTGGTTCCCATTTGTCTAGAACAATGGTCTCGCAGTTGGTGAAGCACGAGCGCATTGAAACTACTGTCTCCAAGGTAGTACAAATCAATTCGAGGTAGTTTGCCACTAAATTTTAGATTTTGATCATATATCCAAGGTGTTCTGATTTGATCGCTTGCAGGCCAAAGAGATCAGAAGACTTGCGGAAAATATGGTACAGCTAGGAAAGGAGGTAGGTACGTATAATTCATGTTGGAGTCAATTTATTTGCTTGCACTGTATGTAAGTTTTACTATTTATGTGGCATCTTTCAAAGAATAGATGGTTTCTAAATGGGAATCAATCTATTAAGGATGCCGTGGAGCTGTGGAAATATGAATACGATTTTTTTTTTTCTTTCAAGTTCTGCATCAGTTGTACAAATCCAAAATTATTGATTCTTTGTACTTGTTTGGGGCAACTATTGAAGTGCTAGATGTTGGTGTTTGAAAAGTAAAAAAAAAAAAAAAAAAAAAAAAGGTAGCAAGTTGTTGGTTGGCAAGTGGTTGGAGACAAGAAAAATTGAAAAGCCTTAAATGTACAAGAACCATTCCTTTTGCTATAAAATGTTATTTCACTTCACTCATTTCTATCATCCAATTCCAAAGCAACCATTACAAGAGTTAGCCAACAAGAAGCAGAAAGAAAATAATCTAGCTTCTGGGTGTAATTGGGTTGAGGGTTGAGTGTTTTGAGAGTGCTTTGTAAACACCTGTGTATTTTCTTTTCTCCCAGTAAAATATCTGCAGTAGTCTGGAGACGTAGGCAATTTTGGCCGAACTCCGTTATCAATTGGTGTGTCCAATTATTCTGTCTTTATTTCGTTTTTATTTCACTTTCATAGATCTGACTACATGGAAAAGTTATGTGTATTTTTCCTAACAACTGATATCAGAGCTGGTTGTTAACTCTGCAATTTTTGTGGTGATACTATTCATATGAATAGTGAATTTACTATTATGTGAATAGTAAAAACGTGAATAGTAAAAATTTTGTCGGTGCTACAAAATTATCTACAGACGTGTTCCGAAACATGGTAGTTCACAGAAATTATCAGAAACGATCCAGAAAAGTCAGATCCGAGTTGGAGTGATGGCTGTAGATGAAGGAAAGGTGAAAATCGAGAAGTTCGATGGTGCGGACTTTGGGTTCTGGAAGATGCAGATCGAGGATTACCTGTATCAGAAGGATATGTTCGAATCACTCACAGGAAAGAAACCAGAGGGTATGAAAGAGGAGGAATGGACTCTTCTCGACAAAAAGACCCTTAGAGCCATTCGACTGACGTTATCCCGTAATGTTGCTTTTAACATTGCAAAAGAAAATACGACAGCAGGTCTTATGGATACTCTTTCCAGTATGTACGAGAAACCATCAACCTCAAACAAAGTTCATTTGATGAGGCGGTTGTTCAATCTACGGATGTCTGAAGGCGCTTCAACGGCGCAACATATCAATGAACTCAATACTGTTACAACTCAGTTGAGTTCAGTTGGGATCGAGTTCAATGATCAAGTACGAGCTTTGATACTTTTGTCTTCTCTACCAGAAAGTTGGAATGCTGCTGTCACAGTTGTGAGTAGCTCATCGGGAAGCAATAAGTTAAAATTTGATGATATTCGTAATTTGGTTCTCAGTGAAGAGATCCGGCGGAGGGAGTCAGGTGAATCATTAACCTCTTCAGTATTGCATACATAGTCAAGAGGAAGAAGTTCAACCAAAGAAAGCGGACGCAGAAAATCAAAGGGCAAACGATCCAAGTCCATAAATCATCGTGGTTCCCAAAACTTGAAGCAAATCGAGTGTTGGAATTGTGGGAAGACCGGACATTACAAAAATCAGTGCAAGAATGCACGAAAGAATCAAGAAGCGAAGGACGAGGCAAACGTTGTCTCTACCTCAGGGAAAGATGATGTGTTGATATGCTCTTTAGAAAGCAAGGAGGAGTCTTGGGTGTTAGACTCTGGAGCATCTTTCCATGCTACCTCACAAAAGCAACTGTTCGAGAATTATGTTCCCGGAAATCTTGGTAAAGTTTACCTTGGTAATGAGCAATCGTGTGAGATTGTAGGTAAAGGTACAGTAAAGATTAAGTTGAACGGGTCTGTATGACAATTGAAAAATGTCAGACATATTCCCGACCTGACGAAGAACTTAATCTCAGTGAGTCAGTTAGCCAGTAAAACAATCTTCCACGGTGATGATTGGAAGATCTCAAAGGGTGCGATGACAATTGCTCGAGGCAAAAAGAGTGGTACTCTTTACAAGACTGCAGGAGCATGTCATTTGATTGCAGTTGCAACAAATGAAAATCCCAATCTATGGCACCAAAGACTTGGGCATATGAGTGAGAAAGGGATGAAGATCATGCACTCAAAAGGAAAACTACTAGGTCTTCAGTCAGTAGAAATTGACATGTGTGAAGACTGCATACTTGAAAAGCAGAAGAGAGTTAGCTTTCAGACAAATAGAAGAATTCCAAAGAAAGAGAGACTTAAGCTTGTCCACTCGATGTTTGGGGTTCAACGACTGTCCCATTCGTTGGTGGGAAGCAATACTTCGTGACGTTTATCGATGATCACTCCGGAAAGGTATGGGTTTACTTTCCGAAACACAAGTCGAAGTATTTGAAGCTTTCAAGATTTGGAAAGCTATGGTAGAAAATGAAACGAGATTGAAGATTAAGAAGCTCAGATCCAACAATGGTGGTGAATATGTAGACACCTGATTCAAGAAGTTTTGCTATGAGCACTGAATCGAATGGAGAGGACCGTGCCTGGTATGCCTCAACACAATGGTGTAGCTGAGCGTATGAACCGAACGTTGACTGAAAGAGCCAGAAGCTTGCGTGTACAGTCAGGCTTACCAAAGCAGTTCTGGGCAGAAACAGTTAACACAGCAGCTTACTTGATCAACCGAAGTCCATCGGTACCATTGGAGCACGGAATACCAGAAGAGGTATGGAGCAGAAAAGAGGTAAAACTCTCACATCTTAGAGTTTTCGGTTGTGTAGCATATGTCCATATCAGTGATCAAGGTAGAAACAAACTTGATCGAAAATCAAAGAAGTGCACTTTCATTGGTTATGGTGAAGATGAGTATGGCTATCGCATATGGGATGAAGAAAACAAAAAGATGATCCGCAGCAGAGATGTAATCTTCAATGAAAGAGTGTTGTACAAGGACATGTATAAAACAGGTATTAGCAATTCAAAATCGAGTGGGCTAGTTTTTGCATAAGTGGAAGATGTCCTAGAAAATCCTATAGTGAGGAGTCCTCAGTCAGAGGAATCAATTGAAGAAGGTGATGTGCAACCAGAACCTCTTACTCTAACTCCTGTATTGAGAAGGTCCTTTAGACCTCATGTGCCAAACAGGAGATACATGGACTACAGGTTGCTGACTGATGGAGGGGAGCCCGAAGATTATATAGAAGCTTGTCAAACCACAAATGCTAGCAAGTGAGAGTTTGCCATGAAAGAAGAGATGAAGTCTCTGATCTCCAATCAGACATGGGAACTAGTCAAGTTACCCATGGGGAAGAAAACACTTCACAACAAATGGGTGTATCGGGTGAAGGAAGACCATGATGGTTCCAAGAGATACAAAGTCCGACTAGTTGTCAAAGGATTTCAGCAGAAAGAAGGAGTTGACTACACTGAAATCTTTGCTCCAGTCGTAAAGCTCAATACTATCAGAACAATGTTAAGTATTGTGGCTAGTGAAGAGCTCTACCTAAAGCAATTAGATGTGAAGACTGCATTTCTCCACGGAGACTTAGATGAGGAGATCTACATGCACCAACCTCGAAGGATTTTCGAAGGAAAGAAGGATATGGTGTGCAAATTGAAGAAGAGATTGTACAGATCGAAACAAGCTCCAAGACAATGAGTACAGAAGTTTGAAAGTTTCATGCATAAGGAAGGTTTCCGAAGTGCAATGTCGATCATCGTTGTTTCTTCAAGAGGTATAAGTCCAGTTATATCATACTGCTACTTTATGTTGATGACATGTTAGTATCAGGTTCAAATATGAGGGATATCAGAAATTTAAAGATGCAGTTGTCAAAGGAATTTGACATGAAGGACTTAGGACCAACAAAGAAGATTCTTGGAATGCAAATCACGAGAGATAAGCAAAAAGGAGTTTTGCAGTTATCTCAAGAGGAGTACATCAACCGTGTTTTGCAAAGATTTAACATGGACAAGGTCAAACCAGTCAATACACCTTTGGTCAGTCATTTTCGTCTATCCAAGGATCAGTCTCCTCAAACAAAGGAAGAAGAATAAATTATGGCTAAGGTTCCGTATGCTTCAGCCATTGGAAGTTTGATGTACGCAATGGTCTGTACAAGGCCAGACATTGGCCATGCAGTAGGAGTTGTGAGCAGGTTTATGGCAAATCCAGGAAAGGCTCACTGGGAAGCCGTCAAGTGGATTCTAAGATATCTACGAGGAACAACAAAAAAATGTCTGTGTTTTGGAAAAGGAAATCTAAGATTACAGGGCTACGTAGATGCAGACTTTGGAGGTGAAGTTGATCACCGAAGAAGCACCACCGGTTATGTTTTCACGGTTGGTACTACAGCTGTTACTTGGATGTCGCGAATACAAAAAATGATTGTTTTATCCACTACAGAGGCTGAGTATGTAGCAGTGACAGAAGCCAGTAAAGAATTGATATGGCTTCAAGGACTATTAGCAGAGCTGAGATTCACTCAAGAAGGGAGTGTTTTGCATAGTGATAGTCAGAGTGCAATACATCTGGCAAAGAATTCAGCATTTCACTCCAGAACCAACCACATTGATATTCGTTATCATTTCATCAGATCTCTACTTGAGAATGAGGTGTTAACATTGAAGCAGATTATAGGAAGCAAGAACCCAGCAGATATGCTAACGAAGGTGGTGACCATTGACAAACTGAAGTTGTGCTCAACTTCAGTTAGCTTGCAAGAGTAGCAGACCAGAGAAGACTACTGCATTAATCAAGGTGTGAGGATAGATTGAAATCAGTCCTCAAGTGGGAGATTGTTGGTGTTTGAAAAGTCAAAAAAAAGGTACCAAGTGGTTGGTTGGCAAGTGGTTGGATGGCAAGTGGTTAGAGACAAGAAAAATTGGAAAGCCTTAAATGCAAAAGAACCATTCCTTTTGCTATAAAATGTTATTTCACTTCACTCATTTCTATCATCCAATTCCAAAGCAACCATTACAAGAGTTAGCCAGCAAGAAGCAGAAAAAAAATAATCTAGCTTTTGGGTGTAATTGGGTTAAGGGTTGAGTGTTTTGAGAGTGCTTTGTAAACACTTGTGTATTTTCTTTTCTCCCAGTATCAATTGGTGTGTCCAATTATTCCGTCTTTATTTTGTTTTTATTTTACTTTCATATATCTTACTAGATGGAAAAGTTATGTGAATTTTTTCTAACACCCTAATGGTTGTCGCCTGTCACTGGTGGAACGGCGTGGTGGGATTTCGTCATTCTGCCATTTATTTTTATTTTTTCCGTTTGTTTTGCCTCCGTTGGTGCTGAAGGTTGCTCATTGCTGTGCTATCGCACCTGCAACCATTTTAGAGCAACAGATAACAATTATAATCTTGTTAGCTAGACCTATTGTATTCTAATTTTTAGGACAAGTTAGATCTATCTCAGTGTTTCTTTTGCATCACGTCACCTTTCTCTTCTTCGAATCAGTTCACCTTACTCAAGGCATTCTCCTTCTAATCCGTATACAGTCCACTAGAAACAGTTAAATTTGCACTCTTTTTTTCACCTTGGTCTTAGAGTGTGAAATTGTCAGAGTAACCATTTTGTTTGTTGATTTGACTTGATTGTTGGTATTGGCCTATAGTTTTACATTATTACTTGTTTTAGGGATCCCAATGTGCTGCAAGACGCGCTGCTAGTTTTGTGCGAGGAGATGATGTCCCAAGCTGTTTACAGAACTGGCTTATAGGTACAAGTAAGTAATAAAGTTGATATAACTTGGGTTGTCAGTTTATGGTAGTAAAGTTGTAACACGGAGCAGAGATTACATTTCACAGGGATAGAACTGGAGCATAACCAGATTTTCGAGTGGATGATGCTGCACCAATGGCCTATTTAGAGTGAGTACATTTTTTGGTTCTGATATTTGGGTCACCCCACTTGATTTCAGCAAAGAAGTTGTCCACTAACTGTTCTTGATGTTGCATGTCTATCTAATATATTGTGTTATAGTTTAATCCTTCAAATGTTCCTGGTTGCTTAGAATGAGGACGTTGAAATTGAAACTTTGTATTAAAAAAATTATATGCTTTGAAACAGGTTTATTGACAGAGAAAATGGCAGTCAAAGCCACCAATTCCTCAGCCACCACAGAGAGCATCCCTTGATCCTTGGACGCGTTCCCGTCTCAGTCGGCAATTTGCACCTCCCAAAGAGGAAAAATATGATTCTGATTTGTGATTCTTTCGAATGTAATCCCAGTCATTTTTGTATGTATAATTACAGGATGACAATAACGTGTAGTTATGAGGAGGACAGTATTTTTAAGGCAGTCCCTTACCCCCTCTCCGTTCGCAGTTGTCAAAAAAACTGAACCTTTCCCTACAACAAAAAGCAAATGGATAAAACCCGGAAACACAATATGCTTCGTCATAATCCACCTTTTACTTTGAGTTGCTTATTGCTGATCTCCATATTCGCCTTGATTTTCCTTAACACATGCTTTCTCAGTTCCCTCAAGGGCTCAATATATTTATTTTTTATTTATCGAATTGTTATGCAAGCGATGCAGTGCCAGGCGCAACTGGTGCAAAGCTGAATTACAATGCAGTACCAGGATGCGATAATGTCTATCTATGCTTTCTAGTTAATCAAGATAAATTGGAACAAGATTATGATTGAGAGAATTGCGTGTTATACAACTTAATTCATTCAATGCACCTATTTTCATCTCAAAATATTTGTTATTTATTTACAGTCTACGAAGCTGACCAGGCAACACCACTTTCATATAGACACCTCTAAACTATCTTCAGGACTGATAATCAATTAATCAAAAGTCCAAATTAATATTACTTTTTAAGTAATTATCACTAAACTTAATGATTTCTAAAACTTATTTTAGTGTCTGTTCATTAGCTATTTACTCTATATTATTTTCTTGCATGAATACATATTCTAGAATCAAGGGTATGATATATGTTTCAATCTGTCAATAAAATTAGAGTTCCTTAAACCACATCTCTAGACTCGAGAATGAATCAGACATGCTTGCATGGAGCTTAAGAATAATAATGAACTTCAAACATCTAGAACAAATCAATAACTAGATGAGACTGATCATTAATTCTTTTATATTAGATTTTCACTTGATCTTAAGTGTAAGATTTATATTATATCTATTTCTTTATTAATAAACATTAAAGAGGTATTTAAATTAATCAAGATGGTTATTCTCCACATCACCAAGCGAAGCATCTCTATATATGGTCAAAATTGGGTTGGTCAATTTTTGTATTTATTGATGTATTCTTTGGGGTTTTCTTAAATTTGATTCAGAGGACTCATTTATGTCCTGATGTTCAGATTGCATACATAGCAGAATCTTAGTAGGATAGCTTGATTAATAGAAGTTTGTTCTAATTGAGTGAGAATGATAATAATACACATTAACATGGGTAGCTTGTGTACTTATACTAGTTTTGGAATGGGTTTGTATGAGAAAAGGGCTGAGAATGATAAGAATTGGAGAGTTTCTGATAAACAGAAACTATATTTTTTAAGGCTGAAAATGTTTATTTTGATAGATTTAGAAGTCAACAATACAAAGATGTTCATAAATTAAGAGAATAAGAGGGTCATCACAACATTGTTGCAATAGAAAGCCTAAGAATATAAACATTACTTTGTCATTGTAGCAATAGTTGAGTTTTTAGTAGTACACTGATAAAAACTACAGAAAAAAAAAACATAAAAGCTTAACCCGCGACCACCAGGGATTATACTCTCTTACAGTATGGAATTTCTATGAGAAATTAGACATCAAAATAATTTGCACCATGTATTACACTTATTTGTTTGAGTTGCAAAAGGTAAAAATTTGATTAAAACACGGTAATATTTTCTGTCTTATATTGTTCGGGTAAAAATTAATTCATATCATCAATGCATATAATATTAGTATAAATTTATAATATTTATAATAATAAATAAGTTTTATTAGATAAAATATACATTAATAAAGTTTTATAATACCTTAGATGGAGAATATAAAAGAGAGAATAATTAAGTAATATGATATGATTATAAAAAATAAAAATAAAGTGACAAGATATAAAATGAGTATTTTCAATATGAAGGTTCCTTTTAATTATTCAAAGAAAACTGTGTGGTAATGGTGTAAAATGATGCATAAAATCATTATTGTTCTGTTTCTCTACATAATAGTCAACCCTTCTGGATAGGATATCAGCATCAACTATAAATGAATATTGTTTAATCTGAGCAGCTTTCCTTCATTAACTGAATAATAACATTAAAGAGATGAGTCAAATAATAAAGGTGCACAAGGGAAATAAAACATAATTATTAGTTCATTAATTGTGTCATTCCTCAAATAATTAATAGTAAAAATAAATTAAGCATAATTAATAACAATTAATGGCTTTACATGCATGACATAAAGTTGCACCAGAAAATGACTCTAAAAGTGATTTGGATACCTGAAAGTAGGTCTCGAGCTTCTTCTTCAAAGTCGTATACTCTAGATAGATCTGTTGGAAAGTCCTGGAGCATCTGAAAAGGTATTCTTGGAACATGTTTATAATCAACCATTATATAGTATTAACTAGTTAAATCCAAAAATATAACAGAGGTTAAGAGATTTGTTAGTTGCATGAAGGTTAATGTTTTTATTACAGAATTAAATAAATAGATAAATGTAGTAAAATATTATTTATATTGCTGTATAAAAATTATTACAATATTTTGTAAAAAGTTATGTATACCCTTCAGAGTTTTCTGCTGCACAATACTCACTGAATCTGCTACATTCAGTCGTCACCTTCTTTGCTCCAATGCTGTCAATAAATTAAGAACTTCAAGTTTTTGTATAGATTCAAAACATGAATTAAGAAAAATCTCCAAACTCTGACATGTGACAGTTTAGAAAAATGAATAGTGACCATAATAACTGCAAAATTCTTGATTTGCGAAAATATCTTAATTAAGAAAACAGTATCAAGGAAAAACAGAAATTATGTTCTGAAATTGTTATAATGAGAATCATTTACTTCACCTTGAGCAACTACCCTTGAACTGATGCATGTAATCATCTAGCTTGGTGAAATTTGGAGGGTTTCTCATCCTGTATAGTAGTAGCAGACTCTAGATGAGTGATTAGGAAGAAGTTGAAGAAAAAAAAAATAATGTAACAAATTTGAGTGATTTTCACTCACAGTCCTCTTTCTATGTTGGAGATGAGTCTTATAGAGTCACTGTAGAAAAGGGTCACAATTTCTTCAACAAAATTGGGATTAACATCGTCTTGTAATTCCTCTAACTGAATGAATTGCTCATCAAGGAACCCCTACAACAACATCAATTAATAAAAGTAAAATTTTATATTTACTGATAGACTCAACCTAAAGTACATCAAAATAATACAAAAATAGTTTTATTTAATCATTGTCATGTCCAATTTTGACAAACGTAATTTTCAATTTCACAGTACTTATAATCTTATATATAGTTAACACAGATATAATTATATATGTGCAAATTTTCTATATATTCTTATGTAAATTATTAAATATTTTTTAGTTTTTTTTATGAGATCCTTTTTAAAGTTAAATTAATTTATCTTGATTTTTTTTTTACAAAATACATTGAAATTGCCAATAATAATAATAATAATATTTATATTAAATAAAAATATCAAAACCATTTATATTATTAATGTATAGATAGTTTATGTTTTGATTGAAAAATATAAAGGTATAATTTTTTTTATATATATAAATATATTTTTTAGTAAAAATTAATTTGAATAGTTAATGAGCACAAAACTGAATTACTTATAATAATTTAATTTTCATGAACTATTGACCTAACACTATTAATCAATCAGAAAAAGCATTTTAAATGTAATTTTAAAGGCTTATCAAAAACATATCATCTTATCATATATGTGAATTTTATATATTTAAATTGAATGATAATGTAAAACAAAATTACAATATTAATTAATTCTAATTAAATTCAGTGTTAAATAAAATAATTTTAAAATTAAAATTATTTTTTCGTTAATAGTTTTTCTTAATCAATAAAAAAAATGTTATATATATATATAACAAATTTCTAGCACATACTTTTTTATTGGCTAAAGGAATACTATAAAGTAGTTAATAGAGTTCATTAATTAATTAAGATGTGAAACTCATTTAATTTTATAACCTCTTATTAAAAATGTGTTCTTGATAAAAAAAATTTAATATATAAAATAAGGAGGAAAAGGGTAAAGATAAACATAAAGAATAATAAATATAGACAAGAAAAAGAAGTGGGAAGTAAACCTCGTCAAAGAGTGATCTTCGAATGAACATGGCTTGTTGTCTCAACTTAGTCTTGTCCATGTCTCCTTATCTTGAGAGTGATAAAAAATTTTCAACAGAAAATCAAATCAAAGAGACCAAGAAAAAAAAGAAGGGTCAAGAAAAAAAAGGATATGGATTTTTGTTCACTTGGCAACTAATATTTATAGCATCTAATGTCTTGGAGGAAAAAGAATCAGAGAATTTTATTTACTAAAAACCAATCATTCATCCTTGTCGCTTTTTCTTTCCTTCTTAAAACCAACAACCCTATATTATTAATCTGTTTCCTCTTATAAATTGACCTCTCTAAAGTAGAAGATGGCAAAATGCAATTAAAAGGAATATTACTCAATCAACCTATCATCATTTGTCCCCTTAAATAAACCAGTTTCATGCCATTAAAGTTTCAAGTATCTATCAAAATTAATTAAACATCTTCCCATTTACATATAAATCAAGAAGCAAAATTAATGTGTGATTTATATAGTACAAAAATATGAATTTAATGATCTTGCTTTAAAAGTATAAAATTATTTTAAATGGTATAGTAATCACAAATCATGATAATTGTAAATTTTAAATAAATTTTATAAAATGTAATAAATTTATTATTCATGTCGATTGAAAAAAAGTTTTGCAGCAGACATTTTTTTTTGTCGAAAATACTATCATTTTGTTATTGGGTTAATTTTCATTAATACAATCATTAATCAACAAAAAAATAGTGGATGTTATAAGTATTTTAGCAATAAAAATTAAATTTAAAATCCATAAAGTATTCAATATTTTATTATTAGAAAAATATCAGTAAATTGCTTATCAATAACTCATTAAAAGTTTTTGATCAATGAGAGATTATTCATTATTATCTAATATAGTAAAAGAATAAACTTTTAAATGGAATGTTAACATGAAAACAATGTTTTAAAATAGTTTCATATCATTGTAAAAATCAGCAAAGTATAGAACAATGAGAGTGAGAACTAGGAGAAAAAAAAATATCTTAGTACAGAATATAAAATGAGATATTTTAATTAGAATATGTATAGCTACAGGAGAACCACATTTTCCTTTTTTGTTATGCAAATTGTGAAACCTACGATGGCATCTTTCATCTTTTACTTTAAAGAAGCTGAAACTAACATAATTTTCCACACATTAAAAATTCTTTAATATTTCCAACAAAATTCATGAATTTGAGACATCTCATTTTATAAAATAAATAAATCACAGTTTTCTTCTTTGGAAAATGTTATATATTCTTTTCTCTTCACAAATTCAGGTTCATAATAATGTATTTCATAAAATATATATATATATATATATATATATATATATATATATATATATAATTATTAAAGTATTAACTAGCCTTCACTTTGCTCGTGTCAAGATAGGTACTTCTCTACCAATAAAAAGGTTGATCCTTTGAAAAAATATGATTAATGTTTCATTAGAACATGCTTTTGTATTTGGGAAACATTCCTTCATAAATATAATGTAATCATATTCACAATTTCTAACACTTTCTTTTACAAATAAAAAAAAAAAAATATATATATATATATATATATATATATATATATATATATATATATTTCTCTACCTTAACATAGAAAAATATATTAGTTCGACTTTATTTCATTTTTAATCTTATTAGAAGAATTATACTCTCATATCTTTATATATTCAAATATTAAACTTCTATTTTTTTAAGACATCTAGTTTTCACTTTTAATAAATAAAAATACAAAAATTCACAAATTCTTCAAAAGAAATATTGTATTTTTTATTAAAGTATTTTTTGACCATAAAAAAATGTTATTTTTTATTGAAAAAAATTATATTCAAGCTGAATAAATAACTGTCAATAACAAAACTCTATAAAACAAAAAATGTACTGATTGCTAGATCGGGTAATTTGTATAAAATATCAATAAAACTTGACTTATCTAAATGGAACCTATAAGTTCTATGGTATTTTAAAAGTTTTTTTAAGTAATCAAAATTACTTATTTTTATGTGTTTGTTATTAGTATTGTCATATTTTAGAAACATATATTTGCATCAATTTTTTTTTTCTTATCTGTTGTCATTTTCTGTAGATGCTTTGTCTATCTGTTCAATCTGAAGTATAAAGACTAATACACACATCAGAACTTTATTAGCTACTTTTTTTTCTAAGGATGTATAGCACCTTGCTCTATTCTATTCACAGAGTAGGTCTAGTGAGATGGGGAAACAAGATGAATAATTCTGATGCAATAAATATCTAGCTTCAAAATATCCAAAAGGTAAGACACAAAAGCAATCACACAGTGCAATCATGAAGTTATATTCCCAGAAGTGAACTTTTATTACAAGTTCTTTAGGAAACAAAAGTTACTTAAAAGAAATAACCATTTTTTATAACTTTTTTATGTGGTTAATTTCAAACCACTTGTTTTATTATTAAATATATCTATTTTCTTAAAAAAATCTTTAAAAATATAGTTACTGCATTTATTTTTCATCTATATATTGTTTTTTTTTTCTGTTACAAACTGCCAAAGTTTAAGTATTGAAAATAAGGTATAAACTTCGAGTCTAATTGCATATAAAAATTTATATAATGTGCATGCATTTCGTAGAAGCTTATGTTTGTATAGATGAAACGAAACACATTATTGTTTATCTTTTATACGCATATATAACCGTCCCCACATAAGAACTGAAATAGGGTAAACATTACATCAATTCTTTTATTTGCATGCAAGAATCTTACTTTAGGTAATCCAATGGTGGACACTGACATGTCTTTTTCCCGCTCATCCCCGCCTACACGAAGTCAGTGTACTGTTTCTGATAAGAGACACATCATTTATTCTATAGGTGCCCATAACCGAAAAGAGAAATTTGCATTGCTCTCCAATGGTTTCTGCAGATGCCCTATCACATTCACTGCAATGCATCGGAATAATTATGTGGTGCATCACAAGACTCCTTGATGGGAAAAAAAAAAGACTCCTTGCTGTATATCAAACAAAAAACAAAAAATCTTCTAGAAAAAAAAAATTAACTGATTGGATGATTTAATATTCTGCCTTGCAGTAAGTATTCGATGTTGATAAGAATGCCACTATGGCCTCATTAAACCATCTATGAAATGCTACTTCCACATTCCACCAGTTTCATTAGGGTATGCATGCTACTGTACTGGTAAAAAAAAAATAATAATGACGCTGTCAGTTTTTTTTTTCATGTAATTGTTTCTATTAAAGAATACTTGCCCATTGGAAAACAGGGGCTCTCTTGGGGGTGGGGGGTGTATTAAGCACACAAGAAGTTATTCCAGATAATTAGTAAAATGACGAAAGAATTAAGATGACTAAGTCGTCTTTCCGTCTTTCCATCAATTACAATGGCGAAACCATTTATCAATTTGAATTCATAATGAAATACAAGTAAATTATGGAAGAGATAGAAAAAATAATATAAAATAAAATGAAGGCAATAACAAATTTCATGAAGAACCTAAGTGACCTTTAGGCTTTATATAAAACATTATTTGACAAACAATATTTCCACTTCCAATAGCCAGTATACGTCCACAAGATTACACTAAAATCTCGAAGCCGTCATTAATCGTTGCTGTCCCGCCAATATTAATTTATTTAGATATCAATTATCACAGTCTCTTCAAAAAGCCCATTGCTTGGTAAACATTATGAAGTGTGGTATCTGCTATTTCTGCCGCATTTCTAGCACCTTGAGCCAATACTTCATCTAAATAACCTGAATCGGACATGATTTCCTCATAGTGAACCTGCCAAAGTTGGAGAAAAAAGAGTGATATCGCAGACCCCATGCTCACTAAGTAAAATATTAGGGACCAACTTTTACAAAGGAAGCAAACAAAACCCGCTAAGCATTAATAAATGGAATAGTGAGACTCAGAATAGAGGGAAGCAAAAGAACTTCGAGGACTAGTTCTCGAGAACATGAAGAAAGAGTTGGTTCTTGACTGAATTACCGTATTTAACTACATTAGTAGTGAAAACTGAAAAGTAACAAACAAAAACTTGTTCATTCCCCTATGCAAAGACCCCAACATCAACAAATTTCAGAGAAATATCTATTGTGTCTAGAACGCGTTGGAGTCAATTTTCCACTATATGAACTGCTGACTACACAAGCTAGCACAGGTGCAAGAACCAGCCAGGTAAAGGCAGTAAACTTGTTGAATCATTGTCTAAGTCCCCTTTCAGAGAAGATCAACCCTCGACCATTAAGAATAGGCTGTGTTTAAATACCATAAAACCTGTTTGGCCCATTTGACTTGTTCAACCTAGTAACATGTTAATACTACCAGTTCTTTGACAATTAAAATGCAGTAGAGAAATTTCCGGTTAGTTAAGAAACAAAAGATGGACATTTAGAAACAGTGTAAAAGTTAAACACTAAAGATGAATGCATGATTGAAAAAACAATGAATACTTAATATTTTGAAATGCATGCATTTTTACCCAATAAAAGTTAAACACTAAAGATGAAATACATGATAAATTGTGTAAGAGTGAAATATACAGATGAATTCGAATGAGTGTTAAAATTTTATTATTCACTTAACATCATTAATAAAAATTTAAGCTACCAAAGTTCAAGTGTTCGACTGAATATTTCGTTTTAAGTTTTGTTAGCATGAACATTGGAATGAAGTCTCCTCCCGGTGGAGTCAATTGGAAATCTGTAGTCAAAGGGAAAGTATTTCATCTATCGGCAAACATATTTGCTTATGAGCGTCATAGTGTTTAGAGTGAACAGATAAACTGATGGCCTACTAAAGCTCAAAAAAATAGCAACCCAATCCAAATCAAGGCCACTTTAAACATTGTTCAGCTTCATAATCTCCAAATAAAATAAGTTACAGACTATGAAGTTATGCACATACCTTTTTCTTACAACACTAAGATTGTGTTTGGCTAACTGTTTCAATTACATTTTGAGCTCAGAGCTTATATATTACATTTGACCTCAAAATTTCTGTTTCACAGTTAGTTGACTGTTTGGGCAGCAAAAAAACTAAAATGACGTGTGTTTCTTGTATGCTGAAAACATATTCCAGCAGAAAATTGGGGAAATATATTTTTTATCACTTAAAATATCTTGAAATTCAGTTTTAGTTACATTTTGAGTTCCTAGATATACCACAAGTGATATGGTTATAGTACCTCATCAGGAGCTAAAAGCATGTGCTTCTGTAGAGGCTAAAAACATAAAAAATTTATAGGGACTAATTTCAAGATATTTTGAGAGACCAAAAGCATTTTACCCTTAACATATTTTTTAATGTTGCTGAATGTCATTTTGTAGGTTCAGAACTATTTCACAATAATACTCCCCACTTTGCTTAAAAGAATATTACATGGTGACTTATTTCTTATTCATATCCACATTTATATTAAGACATAAAACTGTTCAAGTTTTGGCACCATTTTATAGATTCTTTCCCACATCCTTTTCTTAGGGGTAATTGAAATTGGATTGGTAGTGTTCTGCTACCATGTGGGTGGGATATGTGTCTAGTTTTTTTAGTACAAAACTATCCATAAAAAACTTATTCTCATAAAATCAAATCCAAACGTAAAAGTCATTCTTTCAATATTGAACTTTTCAAAAGTAATTAGAAATGCTGAATAAAAACAAGAGTAAATAGGACTTAGTTGTTGACGCATCAATTAAAAAATTATCCACTCAGAAGCCTAAGATATAATACGGATTGTAGTAGAAAACAAGGAGGATATTGTAAATCTGTAACTTGAGAAAGAGTAATTTAGTATTGGAAACCTGAATGGGATGTAAATGATCAATCAAGGCATCTGTTAAAAGGGTTTTGAATATGCCCCAGTTCATATTTTGACATTCCTGAACAACTTCCTGCATAAAAAAAATGGTTTCGAGTAGAATTGATTAGTTAGAAAATCAGGAATTACTACATGATTGGGGATTATTTTAAATAACTTAACAGGTGAATATTTAAGCAGGAATTTTTCTAAATACACAAAAATTCAGCAACACGTCTCATATACTATCTTTTGACACGCATATTAGAAAGAATTATTTTACAAATTAATGCCCAATAATTATTCTCAATTGGTAGCAATATGTTCAAGATTAATGGATACTCGTGTTAATGTCATAATTTGAGAAAAACTAGTTCATGATTGTTGAATATAGGGTTAATTTCCCTTATGTATTTACCACACATAGGGCAGTGTATTTATAATAAAGAAAGGTACTCCTCAAAAGAGTAACAGAATACAAATAGGGTAAATAAAAAGATATTATTTGATATTGTGATTAACAATATCTAACAATATCTCAACAATATCAAACAATATCAACTAATATCTAATCATATCTAACACTCCCCCTCAAGCTGGAGCATACAAATCGTATGTGCCTAGCTTGGTACAAAGATAATCCATCCTAGGTCCCCGTAAAGACTTAGTGAAAATATCTGCTAATTGATCACATGAGTTAACGAACTCAGTCTTGATGTCTCCGAGACATAATCTTTTCCCGAATAAAATGGCAAGTCAATCTCAATGTGTTTAGTTCTCTCATGAAAGACAGGATTAGAGCTTATATGGAGAGCAGCTCGATTGTCACACACTAGTGTCATTTGAGTGACATCTCCAAATTGTAGCTCTTTAAGCAATTGCTTGAGCCAAATAAGTTCACAGTGTAGCCGAGGCCATAGCTCTATACTCGCTTCTGCACCGGATCTTGCCACAACACTTTGTTTCTTACTTTTCCATGAGATCAAGTTACCACCAATGGAAACACAATACCCAGATGTAGATCTTCTATCGAGAGGAGATCCCGCCCAATCAAGCATCCGAATAGCGAGACAACTCTTGTATGATTATGGGAGTCATACACCAAACCTTTTCCAGGAGACTTTTTGATGTACTTCAATATACGGATGACCGCATTCCAATGATCTTGACAAGGAGAATTGAGGAATTGACTCACCATACTCGACCGCAAAGGAAATGTCGTGGCGAGTAACCGTAAGATAATTTAATTTTCCAACTAATCTTCTATATTGTTCGAGATCCGACATTGGCTCCCCCGATTTGGCAAGAGTTTGGTATTAGGATCCATGGGTGTGTCAACAGGCTTTGAATTCATCAACCCAGCTTCCTCCAAAATATCCAATGCATATTTTCTTTGAGATATAACAATGCCATCGGTAGATTGTGCTACCTCAATACCCAAGAAATATCTCGAGTTTGCCAAGATCTTTGGTTTGAAAATGGTGGCAAAGGTGTTGTTTCATCTCGAGAGATGCCATGATGGTCACTACCCGTAAGAATAATGTCATCGACATACACTATCAAATAGATACATCCAACGATTCGAGTGACTGGTAAAAGACCGAGTGGTCTCGCCTCACTTCTAGTCATGCCAAATTGTTGAACAACGCTGCTAAATTTTCCAAACCAGGCCTAGAAGACTATTTTAGGCCATATAAAGATTTGCGAAGACGACATACCAATCCGGAAGACTCCCCCGAGCAACAAATCCGGAGGTTGCTCCATATAAATTTCTTCTTGCAAATCGTCATTCAAGAAAGCATTTTTGACATCCAGTTGATAAAGAGGCCATTGTTGAATAGCGATCATGGCAATGAATAAACGAACGTAAGCCATCTTTGCCACTCGGAGAGAAAGTATCACCATAATCCAACCCAAAAATTTGGGTATAGCCTTTGGCTACAAGGCGAGCTTTGAGGCGATCAATAGTACCATCAGGACCAACCTTGATAGCGAAGACCCACTCGCAACCAACAACAGATTTTCCAGATGGTAATGGGACAAGCGTCCGGGTTCCACTAGTCCGAAGAGCACCGAGTTCATCTAGCATGGCCTCGACGCCAACCAGGGTGGGCTAAGGCTTCGAGAGACAAATTTAGGAATAGACACGGAAGAAATAGACGAGAGACAGGTATAAAATGGTGAAGAAATTCGATGATAACTTAAAGCGGTATAATGTGGAGAAGGATTACGAGTAGAACGCGTACCTTTACGAAGGGCAATAGGAAGGTCGGACTACGTGGACTGAACCGGAGGAGGCGAGTATTTGGCACCGGGAGTGAGTCATGTGGCGTCTGTTGTGGGCGAGGTCTCGCGACTATAAACCCGAAGGGGTGGTGGAGGAGGAGGGGCTAATGGTGGATGGTCCTCAACATAAGGATCAATGAGAACAGGAATGGGAACTGTAGCAGATGGAGACTCAGCAGGTAGGGAAGGGTCCTTAAAGTAAAAGGAACACTCATTGAAGGTGACATCTGCAGACACAAAATAGCGATTAAGAGAAGGAGAAAAACACTTGTATCCTTTTTGGGATCGAGTAAATCCTAAGAAAACACATTTGTGTGATCGAGGAGATAACTTATCATGACCAGGATCAAAATTGTGGACAAAACAGGTAGACCCAAAACCTTCGGAGGTAAAGGATGGAGAGTGTCATGAGGAAATAAAATAGAATGGGGAATTTTGTTATCTAAAACCGAAGAGGGCATACGATTAATAAGATAACAGCAAGTAAGAACAGAGATCACCCAAAAAATGTTGAGGAACCTCACCATGAATTAAAAGAGTACGGGTTGTTTCAATAAGGTGTCTATTCTTGCGCTCACCTACCCCATTTTGTTGAGGGGTATAAGCACGGGAAGTTTGATGAAGAATGCCATGAGAAGCCATAAATTGTTTAAACGAGTTTGAAAGATATTCACGGCCATTATCACTTCGAAAAGTTTGAATAGAGACACCAAATTGATTTTTAATTTCATGATAAAAGTTTTGGAATATAGAAAACAACTCGTAACGATTTTTCATTAAAAATAACCAAGTACAACGAGAGAAATCATCAATAAAAGTAACAAAATATTGAAAACCTAAATTAGACTTAACACGACTGGGTCCCCAAATGTCGAGTGAACTAAGGCAAAGGGGGATGAGGCACGCCGGGAAACACTACGAGAAAAGGAAGTACGACTAAGTTTGCCTAACCGACGGGACTCACACACCAAATTGGACAACCGGGATAAGGCTGGGAACAAGTTGCTCGTAATTTGCGCAGACCGGGGTGACCAAGCCGAGCATGAAGGAGAGAAGGAGACTCCATAACCGTGCCAACATGTGGAGAAGGTTGAAGATAATAAAGTCCATGTGACTCACATCCGGTGCCAATCACTCTTTGCGAGCTCCTAGTCCTGTAGGGAAACGAAGTTTTGGTAAAAGAGATAACACAATCAAGAGATCGAGTTAGACGGCTAATGGATAATAAGTTAAAGGGGGACCCGGTACATACAAAACATTATCAATGGACAACGAGGGAAAAAGAGTAACCGTTCCAATACCATGAGCTAAAGTTGTAGACCCATTAGCCATTGTAACAGAGGGTAAATTATGAGAAGAAGTGAAAGAGAAAAATAAGGATTTGTTACCGGTGATGTGATCGGTGGCGCCCGAGTCAAGAACCCAAGGGCCAATAGAAGAAGAGTGAGTCGGACTAGCAAAAGATGTACCTGTGTGGGCAACGAAGTAGTGGAACCTGGAGGGCTTTCGATCCTCATACCATTGAAGAAAATCATTGAAGATAGCGATTTGTCCGAAGGTACGGACGAAGGAGGATCCACGAGCAGAGGATTGTGCGGAAGAATCGGTCCGAGCAAGCTGCAGCAGATCGGCGAGGATAACCATGTAAAGCATAACATTTGTTAATTTTGTGGCCTAGTTTGCCACAATGGTCACACTTGACACGCCCTTTGCCTCGGCTTGTGAGAGCGATTACGATCATCACGGTGAGAGGCCAAGGCGGATGAATCATTAGAAACTACAGGGGGAATATTGAGAGGTTTACATGGCACCCGCAAAGGGAGGAACTGGTAGCGGTAAAGCCGGGTGTAACAGGGGAACCCAAAATCTCGGTCACGAACAGGGGCATATTTATCGACAAGTCCGTGTAACATCAAAACCATGAAAAACTTTGATCGTTGCTCTAATTCTTGGGCGAGGAGTCGAGGCAGGGGGTAATAACTCATTAAATTCATGGAGAAGAGCATGGATCTTACCCACATAATCCGCCACAGGATCCTTATCTCGAGGAGCAATAACATCAAGAAGATTGTAACAAACACCATAAAGATGTTGAGTGTCATTGGTGTATAATAATTTGGCTTGTTCCCAAACGTCATAACATGTGCCATACGATCGAAAAATTTGTTTTAAAGAAGATTGGATGGTATTCTTGAGAACCATACATATATGAGCATCAACTTTCTTCCAACGGACACGATCATTGGAAGGAACATCATCTACCTTGGTAGTAAGATGATCAACATACCCACGACTCTCAAGCCAAAGTCTAATATCGGATGCCCAAGTTGCATAATTCGTACCATCTAATTTATCAATGGGTAAATTCACATTGACATAATTAGTAAAAACAGATTGCTCGGACCCACCGGAGCCGACGGAGGTAACTTCGAATTGGAAGTGGCGACGGAAGATGCCATGGAGGAAGAGAGAGAAAAACCCTAAAACACCAAAGAGGTCCGATTGGAGCAGCGAGGACAGATCCGGAGAGAGGAGAAGGAGGCGACGCCGGCGCAAAGATCGGCGGCCTGAACGGCGGCGAGACGCGCCGCCACGCGCGGCGGAACGGGAGAAGGTGGCGCGGCTTCGGGAGGCGCGTGAGGGAGCGTGGCCGCTCCGATGACCGCGAAACTTCCACGGTGGAGGTCGCACGGAGGAGGCGAGCAAAACCCCGTGCTCGGCGGTCCGAACTGCTACTCTGGCGACGGCGGCGGCGGCGGACGGTGGTGGCGACGGCGGCGGCGATGGAGGCGGCGACAGCTGCAGGTTCAGTGGCAGAGCCGAAAAAAAAATCCCAAGAGACCTTAAGCTCTTGATACCATGTTGAATATAGGGTTAATTTCCCTTATGTATTTACCACACATAGGGCAGTGTATTTATAATAAAGAAAGGTACTCCTCAAAAGAGTAACAGAATACAAATAGGGTAAATAAAAAGATATTATTTGATATTGTGATTAACAATATCTAACAATATCTCAACAATATCAAACAATATCAACTAATATCTAATCATATCTAACAATGATCATGAATTTAAAAACAGATACATATTCTTCAAGCATATCACAGACAATTCTAGCTAACATCTCTAGTTTTTTAAACAACAAAGAGTTACACAAGACTAGCCCACCCAGTCCTAATACCTGTATTTTAGTTGGCCATAGAAAAGAAACTCACAAGACCTAGCCCACCATGCAACTTACAACCCAACCCAACCCATCCCATTATAATCAACATATAGGCATCATTTATCAGGTATGGTCACTCCTGCTCCAATGATGATTGGGTAGGGACACCGACAAATAGATGACAGACTTCAGTATAATGTGTTCTACATGGCGGAAACCTAATTCGAGGAAGAGGAAAAGTAATACAGTTTCCAGATTCAATGCAGAAACTGTATAGGTGCATAATTATAGTAGCAGCAAAGTTTGAGCTTATGTGTCTTGAGCAACTACTACAACTAAATTTGGGAGACATTCAATGCAGAAAACTTATCTGCAACAATCAACTAGCTACAATTCATATTGAATCAAACCCTGTCTTCCATAAAGGATCAAATGCATAGAGATCAATGCCATTTCGATAGAGAAAAGTGCTTCGCTGAGACATCACAATCACTTTGGTAACTTCAATAATTAATTAGCTGGCATGCTCAGTAACTCTCTTCAAGGTTCTCTTGGGTTGAATGTATTTGTAACAATTATGCTCTAGTTTGAGGAGGTTATGAATAACATGTTTTACTTATTTTACACATGCCAATATCTGTATATTATCCAATAATTAAATTAGGGATTCAATTTATATCCTTTGTATTTATAACTCTACTCTAATGTTTCATTAAATAATACGCATTTGTGTAAAAGATACACAATATTAGAAATCATCTTGTTTGTATAGACATTAACCAAGATCTTTTTCTTATCTTAAGGATCTAGGGAGAGCTCCTCAAGTTAGGTCAATGGCTGGTGTTCTAGAACAAAATTTTGCTGTTTATGCTGAAGAAAGGGTATAAATTTCAGGAAAAGTTGGCAAATCACCAACGGACCACATGGAGAGAAATTCTCTGAAGGAACCCTAGTCTAAGAAACAAGAAACTAAAGCTAGCATTGTGCCAACTCACCTTCATGTCTCAACACCCACCGTCAACCCCCAAATACTAAGCATCACCACCACCAAACAACCCTGATGATTACCCTTGGAGTTTGTTTGATATATCACAGGTATCATTTTTCCAACCACCCCACCATTAAAAAAAACCTTCACCTAATGGCCTTTTCCAAATTTGGGATTTTAAAAGTAGTAGAACGCAACGGCATTGTTGATCTATGTATTAGATCCTATCCAGTGAGAAAAGGATCTGTTGTTATCTTGTTGTAATGAAATAGAAGTTCATCAAGGAAGAAAGAAACAGCTTACAGTAAAGGGCAATGGCTAATCCCTTAATCAATCTCAGTACCCATAGCCATTATTAAGACCTTTTAGTGGATAAAATCTATCATAGTCAAAGCTAAACATAAGGTGATTCTGCCATGTGTCACTTGCTTCTTTTAGGCCAACTCTTTCTATTTTTGAAAGACCAAAAGCACACACTTCATTACATTTCACACAGAAAAAGAAAAACATAAAGATAATAAAAAATTACACTTGGAAAGATAGAAAAATTAATTGAACTAAGTAGATTCATTACCACTAACAACATATTGATAACAGAAAAGAATTATAATTATAAGTGCAAAATATCTATCTAACTAAATAACTATATATATACACATAGAAATAGCATTTCTGACCTCTTTTGTCTTTCCTGAAACAAGCTGGTATATGGAAAGAAGATTGTTACATTCAGGTCTCTCAGAGTTGTCAAATTCCAAGCTGTAAGATGTCATAAAGTGCACCAAAAAGAAAGATTTATAGAAAACAGGTAAATGATGAGAAAAGAAAGTATTTATAGACTAAAGCTCTGAAGACCAATATCATCATCATATGGTAATATTGCAAGTACTAACCTTGGAAATGAATCAGTTTTGCAACGTTTGATCTTGTTGGCTATAAGCTACAAAATAAAATAAGTAAACTCAGTGCAAGAGCGAGCAAAGGCAAGCTAACATTTACAGGACAGGTAGAAAACTAATATTCATAGTTAAATTAACTCAAATATTAGTGTGCAAGTTGCAAGCAACGGATCGATGAGTATGGATGACAACAAAGATTGCAAATTAAGCACACCTAAGAGGGCAGCCTAGTCAAAGAAGTGAATTCATCTTACTTACATCTTTAGGATCAAGAATATTGATTCTGGATTGATCAGAAGGTGCAGACTTTGACATCTACAAAATTGAATCCAAAATAAATGTAAAACAAATGTATACGTTCAAAGCAATAAATATTGTTCTGCATTCCAATTCCTAAAAAATGACATTGATTGCAGGAAATTTGCTTTGCTTTCAATTATCTAGCATTCTGAATTCTTTGATGGTAAAACAGAACTATCTGACATACCAGTTGAATTTTCAAGAGTTCATGATTTATAGAGGAAATGAAGTGGCTGATATTATTTACTAAAAAATTAGATACAGAAATGTTGTTTGTGTAATGTATGTACATATAAGCAGGAAAAAATAGAAAACCTTGGACAGGCCATCCGTTAGAGACATTATTCTGGCACCCGCTGGAGGTATAAGGGGCTCTGGCACCTACATCCAGATAGCGCAGTTAGAAAATATACATTTCCATTGCATTATGATTCAATAGCTCTTTTTAATGGAATGACATATAACTTGCCTTAAATATGGTACTGCCTCGGCTGTCATAAATGTGCAAAATAAAATTTGAAAAGGTCAAGTCCAATGTAAAATCTATAAAAGGTAAAACATTCCAACCCTATCTTATGTTGGTAGTTATCTCCAGTTTAGAAACAATTACTCACCCCCCTAATTTCTTCCACTTTCTCCCTCCATATAAATTATTAACTCGTTCAGCCAAGTCACGAGTCAACTCCAAATGCTGCTTTTGATCTTCACCAACAGGGACAAGATCAGACTGCAGAAGCATGCTGCAATTATAAGAATTACTCTTATTCAAGGTAAATTTAGTATAATGCATTTTAAATCATTTTTTTCAAAAAAATTGAGGTAGCAAAAACTAATCAACCAAAGCTGCAATCATATTAGGTAAAATTAGCTTATTTATTTAGGCTTTCACTATTACATTCAAGGACTAAACAAATTTCGACAAGGTAGAGTGTCAGAAATAACCTGATATAGAAGTATATCAGAAGCCATCAGAACAGGATATGTCAAAAGAGCAACGCCAACTTCTTCATCTCCCTGCATATCCAATTTCACAAGAATCTATTATTTCTAAAAAATGAAAACATAGAAGCCAGTATGAGAGTACTAAGAAAAAAGGGCTTGATTTAGCAAACCTACATGGTCAAAGACAAACTATATAGTGCAATCCAACAGGATGGAAGATGCATGAATAGCACATGCAGCATTGTTAAAACTGCAATTTTAACCATGGAATCACAGGACTTCACAATTTTCCTAAGGCCTTGGAAACCAACAAGTAGAATCATACCCTGGTGGAATCATCAAGTTGGAGTACGGATTTGTGACTCAGAGCAACTCACACAATTACATCAGAAAGTGGGTACCAGTTTAGTTTTCTTAACCCATAAAGAAAAAAAAAAAAAAGAGATCAGTTTTTCTGAACTTAATGAGGCACAAAACCCATTGCAAAACAGACACAGGTCTCTGCCATCTCTTTGAATCCTTTTTTCTACCCCATAGAACCAACTGAAACCCTTTGTTCTGTAACTTTTGTTCTCTCAAGTCTCACCCTTGCACTTTGCACTAAGGTTCAGTAGAGCTAGGAGCAGAGAGAATCTCTTTTCTCACATCAAGTGCCCCTCGCCCTCTCTCTATTCTTTGTTTCTGGCTTTGTGTTTTTATCTGGGAAAATTAGCAATTTGATGCTAGACTAAATATCTAGAATCTGAATTATTCTATAATTGCAGACGTGGAGTATCATTTTCTTGTGTTTTAGTTGTGATATGTTATGGAAAACTTGTGACTATGACTTACAAGTTGTATTGGATGTTATGCTAATGAATTTTCATCTTAAGTTTAATTTAACAGGTGATTGGGAGGTTATTTTCATTATTTATGTTATTCTCTATATATTTGTATATGGTTAAGTATAGTTTTGTATTTAAGTTAAAACCTTTTTACTTCCCCTTCTTACATAAAAATCTCAAATTTTGACAACATTGAACCTATAAGTTAATAACTTGTGTTTTTAGAATAGGCTTAATTCATTATCAAAGCCTAAATCTCAGACCAGAAGCTTCTTCTGCCTTCCATGTTTTAAAAGAGCAGCAACCAAGGGTTAATAGAAGAAGTTATTACTGAGCATCTAAGCACAGCCAGAGCGCCAAAATGGCATGGTGCACAGTCAAGTTCTTGACATTCAAAACAAGGGAGAGTTTTTTTTTTTTTTTTTCAAATTATTCCCAAATAAAATGTATATCAGTGACCACACTATCACAACCAACATAGAATTCAAAATATAAAAAGATGAAGTCGAGAGGAAATCTTATTCCCAAAGTTTGCTTAATTAAAGAATCAAATTGAACTATATTACTTCAAGAAGAGCACTGTCAAGAAGGAAAAATACAGACAAAAATTAAGTAACATGATAAAAATTGCAAAAATCAAATTAAGTCCATAAAACCAGAAAATAATAAATAAATTTATAAAATAGAATTAGGAATTCATACAGCTATGAACGCACCGCCTTGCGAGATTTCTCTTTAAACTGTATCATTTTGTTCAGCCAACCAATTGGTGTTGTGGAACTTAGCAGCCACATCAATTCTACATGTGCACGAACATGAGACTGTACAAATACTGAAGCCTGTATGCACAAAACGAATGTCGTTTATATCACAGTGATCTTGACATTTCCAACATAAATATTCTTCCAGAAAAGGTTCACAGCAAAAGTTGCAAAGAACCTTGGAAGGATCCACTCCACATGCTAGGTAAATAGCAGCAGTTGACCTTGTAGCCTTAGATAATTGTTGGGTGTCATATGGTAATGTAATCTGTAAGATCAAATCCAAAGGGATGAGAAATGGGATAGTATCATTCAACATCAACAAAACAGAGAACTAGCATTGACCAGTAACAAGTACTATGAAAAGTAATTTTAAGCATAAAATTAGTCCACAAAAACCTCTCAGAAAGTTTTGAAGTGCAACTTTGAAGCATGGACATTAAAAAAAAATGCAGTATCTGAAATAGGTCAAACATGAAGTGATGTTACATATTGTAACAAGGTGATGTGAACATGACCTATGATAAGGGCTAGAGCAAGGGAAACAAAGGAAGCTTTTCATCAAGTATTGTTGATTGACCAAATTGTGTTTTGGATTAATCAATTAATGGGCTTTAGTTTGATTTTATTTTAAGTTGTAATAAGGGCCTAATTGAAAATTTAGTCATCAGCCTTTGGGAGACCAAGGGATGCATAGCTGATTGACTTTTGGTTACCACAGTTTCAGATACAATCAGTCATTAAGTAGTTTTCAATTCCTAGGTTAATGGATCATTATTAGCCTTTATTTGTTTCCATTAAATAGTTTTCAATTCTTAGATTAATGGGTTATTATTAGTATTTATTTTCTTTTATTGAGCCTTTTGTAATTCCGATGGCAACGCTTCTATATTAGCTGAACCATTCTTATCAAGAAATGACAAGTGAAATTTTATTCAGAAATATTAGAGTTTATCTCTTTTATCTTAGTGAGAGTGATTCTCCTAAATTCTTGAGTGATTCAAGAACCCTTGGCTGTATCAAAGGACTGTCACATCCTTTGTGTGTTGCCTCCCTTGGGAAGAGTGATTCTTTCCTTCCACCTTCTTTCTAATTCCTAAATTTCTTACAAGGTTCTAACCCTAAAGATCCTAAATTACCCCCCTTGTGATTCATATCATTTGGTATTCAGAGCTCCGGTTTAAGGGTTTAAACATCAAATTGATGGCAGAAGAGGAAAATTACAATCAAGAAGCAGGAATTAGTCCAATTCAAATGAGAGTATTGGTACAACATTTGGAAAGATTAGTGATACGACATAACAATGAGCTCCATGAAAGATTGAACCGGTTGGAGAATAGAAATTCTAAAGACGAAGAAGAAAGGAGAAATAGGAGAATGAATGATGGAGTAACAAGACCAAGTAGGCTTGAAGGAGTCAAGCTTAACATTCCTCCGTTCAAAGGAAAAAGTGATCCAGAAGCATACTTGGAGTGGGAGATGAAAATAGAGCATATTTTCTCATGCAACAATTATGAGGAGACCCAAAAGGTGAGGCTTGCAACAACAGAATTTTCTGACTATGCTCTTGTTTGGTGGAACAAGCTACAAAAGGATAGAGATAGAAATGAAGAGCCAATGGTTAATACATGGACCGAGATGAAAAGGATCATGAGGAAGCGGTATGTGCTTAGGCTAGTTATGCAAGGGACTTGAAATTTAAACTCCAAAAACTTACTCAAGGCAACAGGGGGGTTGAGGAGTATTTCAAAGAAATGGACATGCTCATGATTCAAGCAAAGATTGAAGAAGATGAAGAGGTAATTATGGCCCGATTTATTGGTGGTTTGAATATTGATATATGTGATATTGTTGAGTTGCAGGAGTTTGTTGATATGGAGGATTTACTTCATAAAGCAATTCGAGTGGAGCAACAACTCAAAAGAAAAGAAGTGACTAAGAAGAGTTCTACCAACTTTGGATTTTCAAGTTGGAAGGACAAAGGCAAAAAAGATGGGACTGTTACTTCTAATAGTTCCACACATATTCCTACAAAGACTCATTCAAAATATGAAGAACAACCCTCTAAAAAAAGTAGAGATGTGAAGTGTTTCAAGTGTCAAGGCCTAGGACACTATGCTTATGAGTGCCCTAACACAAAGACCATGATTCTTAGAGAGGGAGAATATATAAGTGAATCTGAGGTTGAAGAGGGAGAAAAGAGTGAAGACACTGAGGAGGAGGAAGAGATTCCAAAGGGAGATTTATTGATGATTAGGCGATTACTTGATAGTCAATTGAAACCTATGGAAGAAAACCAAAGAAAAAATATTTTTCACACTAGATGTTTAATCAATGACAAGGTGTGCATAATGATCATAGATGGAGGTAGTTGCACCAATGTGGCTAGTGCTAGATTAGTATCAAAGCTAAATTTAGCTACCAAACCACATCCTAGGCCATATAAACTCCAATGGCTTAGTAAGGATGGAGAGGTGCAAGTGAGACAACAAGTTGAAGTGGTCATTTCCATTGGAAAATACAATGATAAGGTGCTTTGTGATATTATTCCTATGGAAGTCAGTCATTTACTTTTGGAAAGACCATGGCAATTTGATAAAAGGGTTAATCATAACGGGTTCACCAACAAGATTTCTTTCATACACCAAGACAAGAAGATTGTGCTCAAACCTTTGAGTCCACAAGAAGTATGTGAGGATAAAAAGAAAATGAAAGAAAAACTTCTTCAAGAAAAGAAAGAGAAAGAAAGCGTTAGTGAAACACTTGAGAGGAAAAAAAGTGATCAAAAGAAGAGTGAAACACTTGAAGTGAAACAGAGCTATTTAGCCATAAAAAGTGAGTATAATGTTTGTCCTACATTTAATTTGTCAGACTTATCTCTTTTTAATGTAGATGACGAATCCGATTTGAGGACAAATCCTTTTCAAGAGGGAGAGAATGATGTGAACATGACCTATAATAAGGGCTAGAGCAAGGGAAACAAAGGAAGTTTTTCAAAAAGTACTGTTGATTGACCAAATTGTGTTTTGGATTAATCAATTAATGGGCTTTAGTTTGATTTTGTTTTATGTTGTAATAAGGGCCCAATTGAAAATTTAGTCATCAGCCTTTGGGAGACCAAGGGATGCATAGCTGATTGACTTTTGGTTGCCACAGTTCAGATACAATCAGTCATTAAGTAGTTTTCAATTCCTAGGTTAATGGATCATTATTAGCCTTTATTTGTTTCCATTAAATAGTTTTCAATTCTTAGATTAATGGGTTATTATTAGTATTTATTTTCTTTTATTGAGCCTTTTGTAATTCTGATGACAACGCTTTTATATTAGCTGAACTATTCTTATCAAGAAATGACAAGTGAAATTTTATTCAGAAATATTAGAGTTTATCTCTTTTATCTTAGTGAGAGTGATTCTCCTAAATTCTTGAGTGATTCAAGAACCCTTGGCTGTATCAAAGGACTGTCACATCCTTTGTGTGTTGCCTCCCTTGGGAAGAGTGATTCTTTCCTTCCACCTTCTTTCTAATTCCTAAATTTCTTACAAGGTTCTAACCCTAAAGATCCTAAATTACCCCCTTGTGATTCATATCACAAGGCACTTCAAATTTGCTGGAACAGTGTTATATTATTGTCTGTGTCCATGTAACTTTCAGCATCCATGCTTCATAGGTTGTACCTCTTTGACAAAAAAGTCTGGCCACTCTATAGACTAACAACAAAGATAAACTTTAAATAAAAATGTACATCTAAAGAAAAGTGAACTTAAATTATCCTAACAAATTTTAGAACTTTATCCTCAGTTATAAGTAAATGTGTGAGTTTTCTTGGGCAGAGCTGCTAAGCCTCGTCAATGAGAAGCTCAATTAATTGACCTATTAGCAAATTGGTCCTAGAAAGTGTAGATGGTACAATAAATTAAAGTACACACTTGAGCTAACAGTAAACTCGCTACAGAGCAGAAACAGCACAAATAAAGCAAAATCATGAATTTCAAGATTCTTTGTCAAATGATATTATATACCAAAAAATTAGTTATATGAGCTCAGATCTGTGGCTCAAACAAAAAACATCATTGAGCACTTCATAAGTCTAGGTAGTAGAAGGAATCTGGACATACCGCATGCAGGTCCACAATGAAGAAAAGTGTTTCATACACATTCTGCACAACGAAAAATATCATGTCTTAACAAATATGCAAATTTGTGAATGGAGACAATCAAGCAGCATTATATGGAATCCAATCAAGGGTCTATTTGAATAAACAACTCCATAAGTACTTACAGGAGAAAAAAATAAGAAGAAAAATGAAATAAACCTTTACATGAGTTAAAATTAACGCATAAACTATTTTGTCCAAGTCACATTATGTCACCCTCATTGCATTCAATTATTTGTACAATTCAAAAACAACAACCTGGAATAAGAAAAAGAAAGAGGCTGTGAATAATAAACCTGAAGGGCAACCCAATTCTTGATGGCGCCAAAATAGTTTCCAAGATGAATTGAGCCCGTGGGCTGAACCCCCGACACTACTCGTTTCCTGTCAAAAAGAAGCATTAATAAACGGCACAAAATGCTACTTAATTCACACCAAAATTAAAATAATTAAAAAAAAAAATGCAATGATTACTATTACTTTACGGAGGTTGGAATGGGAGTTTCAGTGGTAGTAGCAGTGAGAGTAGTACAACAGCGGATGCGAGAACGGAGCGTTGAAGCCCGCGACCTGGTGGTTCCAACTTGCAATTAAAATCACAAGACCTAACTATGAAGTGAAGAACAAAAACGAAGAGAGAGAACAGAGAGAGTAGAGTACAGTGAAGGGACGAAGCGTGGACGACAACACGATAGAACCGCGAAATGTGAAACGCACATCTTTTCCTTCTCCTTCCACTCCACGCACCCCTTACCGTTTAGCTTTATCTATCGCAGCGACACACTCGTGGTTCAAGGCGGGTGCTGCTTTGGTCTTGTTTCAGTATCAACAAAAACAGCATCAACGGCTATCATTTTAAGAATCAAATTGTTAACCCAAATGCCAAAACTAATTTCTACATTATTTTTTATATGATTTTTTTATTTATTTTGGGGAATGATTTATAATCATATTAATTCACATTGTCATCTTATTCTTGATACTGATAAATATTGTTGTATATCAACATTGTTAAATTTCTGCATCGACCTTCTTTCTTATTTGATGGCAACAAACACTATTGGATAAATATGATTTAACAAGATTTCAATGTAAAAAATAACATGATATAATTTTTAAATTTAACCATAACTTAAGATTGTTTATTTAATCTTTATTATTAAAATGTATCATACTTGCAATTTTTTTATAAATTATTTAATAATTTCAACAAAAATTGTTTATATATAATGATTACTCAAATATTGTAATTCTTCTAAAAAAAGGAAAAAAATTACAAATGTGACCAAAAAGTTTGCTTTACAACGAGCAATATTATTAAGAATTAATGGTTGAATATGTCTTATAAATAATACAAAATTATATATTCACCAATAGTTTTGAAAAATCTATAAAGAAAAAATTAATGATTGTGTTTACGTTTTTTATTTTTATATAAATTAAGATTTTTAATTCTATTTCACTATAGAAAGTGTTGCCTAAATGCATTTTAATGGTTGTGTTTTTAAGTTTTAAATTCTTTATATATATATATATATATATATATATATATATATATATATATTTTTTTATTTTTTTTGTGGTTGATTTTTTTTATGTCTTAATATATGAAATAATAAAAAATAATTATCTTCTTAAAAACTTAAAAAATCTTGAAAATGAATATATTTTTCTTTTCGTCACTTTTATTAAACGATGTCAAGATATCAAACGCACAGATATATCATTAAAAAAAAATACATGTCAAACTACTCTTAAAATCAATAATGAATCTTGAATTTTCTTAATACCATATGAAAGAAAAATGGAAGATATTAATCATGTAAAATTTTTAAAAAAAATAATAATGTACTTGTTGTCCTATAAATAACATAAATAAATAAATAATATATATATATATATATATATATATATATATATATATATAAAAGAATGTCATTTTAAACAAACATCTTACACAGATGGTATAAACCAGAAAGTCATATTAATTACATGTCACAAAAAGGTGACCATAATTATGTTACATATGTGATCTTATAATCAGATTTTAAATATTTTTTAAAAATTAACAAACATTATATTTTTTAACTAATAGTTGGGAATATATTAAACTGATGAATTTGACTTATAAAGTAAGTAAAGAATGAATTATTTTTTAAATAGATCGAGTAATCTAACGCATCTTGTACTGTGTCATAATTTTTTTATCCTAATTTAATTCATCTGAAATGGATTGAACTACTATGTTTCTAAAAGTAAAAATAAAATCAAAACATAAAAATATAATTATAATTATTTATTTTAAATGTCACATTTTTTCCATCAAGACATAAATAATTCAAACACAAATATACAATAAACAAAATTATGATATTTTAAGTGTCAAACAATTAATAATTCAAATCATAAATAAAAAATACAACAACTTAAATAAAAGAAGGATGTCTGAAAAGATGTCAAATAAAAAAATTAGACTAATAGATCGTCGTTTAAATAGAAGTGTGCAAGTGTTGTGTTAAAGAGCCATAAACTACCAGTGCCTCCCCTCTGATGTGGTGTAGTGCCAGCCTGGGGTACAATCCTCCCTTTCCCCTTCTTCTTCCTCTGCAAATCTCCAAACCCTAGCATAGCACCCGAAAATGGATGACGAGGAGAGAGAGAGGCTTCTGGAGAGGGAGAGATTGCAAATCCAAATGATTCACCAGCTCGATCTCGAGCACCTCGAAGTCGAAGAAGTCGATTACACCGATGAAGACGAAGAAGCCGACGAGGAATATGCGATTTTCCTTTCACAATTAAATTCGTCTAGTCCTCCACAATCTTCCGCTGAATTCACTTTCGACACCTATATCACGCCGTTGCATACGTATCTCGGTGGTACGCATTTGTATTGCATTCGTATCTTATGAATCTGCACTTTTCTGCAATGCATTCGCATATTGCTTTGTTCTTTGCTCGTAGATGTGGAAGACACTCGCCACAGGACTGCGTTCTTGGACGGTGGAGCTATATTGAACATTCCGCTTTTTTTCCTCCGAGGTATTGGTAAAATTCATTTTAAATTTGGTTTAAATGGATTTTGAAGTAATGTGATTCATGTTTGCGTGGGGGGTGGGGGGGGGGGTGTATTTTCTAAAAGCTTAGTTAGTACAGTTTCTAAAAGGCTTGTGTTCAACACAAAAGTTACTACAGTTTCTTCAACTCAATATCGAGTTTCGATTCAGTTAAATTGTCAACGTGAAATCAAGCATGCGAAATTGACCGAAAATCTTGTTAGCTGGCATTTCAAAGTGATTTTGGATCATTCAACAGGATCTAAACATGCGCTATATCATCTGCTTTCTTGGACGGTGTTTTGTTTGTTGATGAGACAAACAATGAAGTATTAGTGAACAATTTTTGGAAACTCGTACTCCCACAAGGTGGAAAATGTGTAGACAATCAGACGTTGTATTTTCAGGACCATGTTTGTGCTCTGCTCTCGTTCTTTTTTTGAATAACAGGATTTCTCCTCTGTAAATTTTCAATTTCGAAACAGGTTTCGGTCTAGTCTTTGCCTTTTTAGAAGGAGAATTATGTTTTGACAACCGCAAATAGTAAAAACATTCATCCTACATTTATTATGTTATTATTTGTAATTGTTGAATAGGTGTTTGGTGTGTAAGAATATCATTACTCATTTTAGAATTGCTTATATGTCTGGAAGGAATTTGAGGTTCACTGAGCCTTTTTGTCCAGTTGCACTGTCTCCTAGTGTTTTTGGCAGTTATATTTTTTCCCTTACTTGTATGAAACTTTTGTGAAAAATGTTCTTGAAAAATGGTGTATAAGTTATTTCCTCCTAACTTGAAAGGTGTCTAATGTTGTGTTCTCATATGTTGCCTTCTTATCCTTCCTAGGTTTGTTTTATAATTTTTAACTCACGAGTATAAATATTCGTTGCAATATTCAGGAGTTGTACTCTTTCCAGGGGCTACTCTTCCCCTTAGAATTATTGAACCTCGTATGGTGGTTGCTGTGGAGAGAACTATAACTCCAGATGATATTCCTCAGACCATTGGCGTGGTAAGTTAACTTCATGTGATGACTGTCTACAGTTAAGTCATGCTTAGAATTCAGTTTTAATTTTTCTCTTAAACATAAGTGAGGTGTGGACATGTATTCGCCTTTCAGATTCGAATTCACATGGATACTGCAACTCGAAGGATGAAATCAGCAAGCGTTGGGACAACTGCAGAGGTATTACACCTCAACTGATGTACTATTTATACATGATGAATAATTTACATCGATACATATCCATCCTCATGTTACCGTTTAAAACACATACCATCTGTTTGATACAGGGAATTTATGAATAGCACCTTCATGATACCCAATAACATGTCTGTAAGAGACATTATAAAACAGTAGCAAATCACTTTGCTTCAGAAATTTAATGTTGGCACAGCTACTCTATATATCACTCTATATGTATTTGTGCAAAAGCCGTACTAGTGTAACTGTGGATGTGGGGGGAAGCAGAGCTGAATTACTTGCTTACATAACATCTTGTTCATTTACAAAGCCGGATTTTGCAATGCAGAAGTCACTAGTCCCATATCTCTTGATGGAGGGAAAACAAAAAAGAGACCATCTATAGTTACAAGTTATAGTCTCCTTAGTTCTTACTACAGTTAGACATCAGTGTCTATATGTCTGTTGGTTTATAATATTCGCTAAACTAGTATCTACAGATTCGACAATTTCGGCGTCTGGGGGATGGTACACTGAATGTGGTTACCCGTGGACAACAAAGATTTCGCCTAAGACGGTCCTGGAATGACGTGGATGGAGTGGTAAGCAAAACATATTATATTTACTGCCAATTTATTTTAACTAGGTTCAGTATTAGCTATGTAACTTAATGCTGACAAATCCCTTGTTCTTTGTTTGGTTGGGGTGCCTCTTTTTAGGCTTATGGAGAGATCCAAATTATTGAGGAAGATCTGCCAGTGAGAACTCCAAGGGATGCCTTTGGCAAATTAGCACCATTGAGTAATATGCCCCGTAGCCAAGCTGTCTCATACACAGTGTCTTCACCAGATTCTCATGTTAAAATGCAAAGGTCAAAAAATGAGGAAAGTGATTCAGAAGCGAGTTTTGAGAGTGAGCTCTCATTGGTGGAAAGGAAAATCCATCTATCAGTTGTTGGCTCCAGTTATGTGCATGATACAATGGATGAATCTGCAAACATCAGCGGGGCAAAGTGTAAGTCAGATCAGGAAATTAGATCCAATCTGGATTCAAGGACTGGGAACTGTTCCACTTCTGGAAAACAGTCATCCAAAGAAGAGCTTAATAGATATAAAAATATATGTGCCTACCCATCTCATAAAATTTCTAAAGCATTTTGGCCCCACTGGACATATCGGATGTTTGACTCTTATTTGCTGGCACAAAGGGCTGCAGGTAGATTTGCTTTGCTTCTTCTGGCTCTCGATTAGATATTTCTTGCAAATTCCCCCCCTTCATTGTTATGGTATCACTATTATTGGCTAAATAAAAATTCTGGTTATCCTTTCTACATGCTGGTCCGTTAGTATTGATTTTAAAATTCAAAAAAGGACCTCAATGGAAAATTCATGAGCAAGTTGTGTATTTCTAGAATTTTCAGAAATTGTTCTGCAATATACATTAATACTATATTTATCTATGCTTTTGTCCATTTATTTATTACTATTATGTATTGGTAATTTTACTATTGTATAACAAATATGCAACCCTTAGAATAAACGTTAATGGTTGGATTGTGTTGATAATCTGTAGAAATGTGGAAGCAAATAGTTGGGGTGCCTAACATGGAAAGTCTCGTTAAAAAGCCTGATATTTTATCGTTTCACATAGCCAGTAAAATACCTGTGTCTGAGTCTACAAGGCAGGAGCTTTTGGACATTGATGGCATTGCATACAGACTGCGTAGGGAAATTGAATTACTAGAGAGCATTGATCTTATCCGCTGTAAAAGCTGTGAGGTAATAGTTGTGTAACCAGAGCCCAACACCTTTTGACTTCATGTTGCTTGTGAACAAAATAATGAGATAATTTTAAATGAGCAATTCTGTTTCAACTTTCATCAAATGTGGAAAGTAATATTTCTTCCTCCCTTTTTACCATCTTAAAATTTGCAGAGTACAATTGCAAAACGAAGTGATATGCTGGTGATGTCAAGTGAGGGTCCTCTTAGTGCCTATGTGAATCCAGACGGTTATGTGCATGAGATAATGACTCTTTACAAGGCAAATGGTTTAGCTCTAATTGGACCAGCAGTAGCTGAATACAGTTGGTTTCCTGGGTAAGTGTCACTCCATTTCCATATTCTGTGATGTTATGAACATATCAAGTTATTCATTTTTATTTAGAGTTTAGAAGAATAAGGTATGTCAAAGATCAAACTATTGCATGCCGTGAATCTGTGTGATGCTTCATGTAATGGTGATGCAACTTGTATATTTACATTTCTTTTCTCATCTAGTTTTCTGCCATTTAAATGTGCTTGACTGGATTCTATTTTCCCTAGTGGCTTTGGATTTGTCCTCTCATTTTTCAGAGACATTCTCTACCTGATATCTGGATTTTGAGAAAAGAAAGGCATAAGTATTGTCAGTTTCTTCACTCTTTTTGGGCATGTAGTCCATTTTGTCACTTGTGCGTGGTTGTTTTTAAGAAGGCTTTTGTTAGATATACACAGGAATTGGAGAGCTCCCGTTTTCTTCAGTTTAATTTCTTTGACGTGTTAGATGTGTGCATTTATTATATGTAAATACGGAAAGATAGAGAGTCCATTCCTAGAAATTAGGGATTTCATTGATACATTGTATCATCAATTGTTCGTTTATTTGATTATAAAATAGAAAGCATGTGCGTGGTACTACACATAATATTAAATCCTTTCTACAATGTTTGCTTCACTTTTGGGAAGATTCCTATTCTGTATTTTTCTTTTAGTAGAAAAGTTGGTCTTAAGTTTAGATAAATGCAAGAGTAATAGTCTTAGAAACCAATTCCAATAAATTGAATATGAAAAAATATCATGTCTTTGTCTATTTAATGCCTCTCAATCTCAATTCATAATGAACTGAGTTTTTATACTACTAGTGTTAGATATTTCAATCAACCTTTTGTTTCATTATATTTAGGTTTTTCCTTTGGTTTATATTCCCTTAACCAAATGTCCATTTAAATTATATTGTTATAAATATAATTTTATAGTTGATAATTGATATACTTTTGATTTATCCATACGAAATTCTCTTATTGTTATTTTTCTAGCTTTTGGTCTAGAGAATGTTGATGCAAGTGTGTTTTATTTATTCATTGAGGAGTACATGGGTAGAATGGAATGCCAGAGTCTTTTAGCCAAACATTTTCAGACATAGAGCTTAAAATAGTGTCTTCGTGGAATCTACCCACAATTCCTTCAGGGCTTAGGCTGGTATGCAGGGGGAGTGGATCCATTAGCCTTTTATTTCTTTTATTTTCTTCTGCTCTATGGAAAGATCTACCATAAACAATCCAGAAAAAATGGTGCCTTCCCAACTTTTTTGTTAATGGTCCTTTTTTTTCAATGGCTTTCCATCCTTCATGGGAAGTTTTAGTTCCTGAATCAAGTATTGATTAAAGTCTCTGCTATACCCAGCACTAAAAATAGAAAAAAGACAATGAAAATGATGAGTTAGTAGTGCCCTATAAAGTGAACTTACGGGGCAACTCTTGTTTTTCGTTTTTCGTTTGTCGTGACATTAGTGCTGATGATGCTACATAATGTCTACTTGTAGTTGGTTGTTTAATGAAAACTGAGAAGCTTACGTGCCAATATGCTACTTTTGGCAGGTATGCGTGGACAATTGCTACTTGTGCAACATGTAAAACCCAAATGGGGTGGCTTTTTACTGCCAGGAGCCAAAAACTGAAACCAAGCACTTTCTGGGGGATTCGGAGCTGTCAACTTGCAGAAGAAAAACGCGAAAACCTTTAGTTTGATAATTATGCAATCATCTATCAAAGCTTAATGAAGCCATTTTCCTGGTTATGTATATAATGCAACTTTCTTGTAGCACTGCGCGTGTTGATATTACTTATATTAGAAAATATATGTTTGTAATAGCCTGGAAGAAATAATTAAGTCACACATTAAGAAAATTTTAGATGAGATTATTGCGAACTCTTGTAGATCTTGCTTTCGCAGGATAGATGACGAAGCACCCTATTTCGTTTAAAAGAGCTAGATGCCTGTTTTGTTAGAATTTTTTGCCCGCTCTGGTCTGCATACACTGCAAGCCGAAGTTCGCTTTTGGGGAATAATGTGTAACGTATGAATTTCCTAAACTATTATATATTTTATTTTTATTTTAGCTTTTTGGTTTTATAACATTTGGACTTCTGATACCTTAAGTTCTTTAATTGTACACTATTATTTTGTTGCGACGCATGAACACTTTGTAACAGATTTAATATATTAGTAAAATATACAAAATTAAAAAAATATATAATGAGAAAGTGTGTAAGAAAACTTTAGGAGTAAAATTTGCAAAATAATAATAACTGAGTGATTAAAATGAATAATTTGTTTTTAGTTATTATATAGTGAGAAAATATAAAATAAAAATTATAAGTATTCTTTAAAAAAACTACTTTTATAATAACTTGATATATATATATATATATATATGTGTGTGTGTGTGTGTGTGTGTGTGAAGAGAGATCCAATAAGATCAATCTAAGCAAGCTTACTTCTACAAAAATCATATTTTCTTCAGCATAAATTGGAATTTGAATAGTATTCCCTGATACAAACAAAATCCTAGAAGAATAAGCAACTTTTCAAAGTTCACATGGCAATGCCTTATACCACAAGCCTAACCAGCAATAAAATAAATCTGTTCCTAATAAGCTTATTGTGTATCACTGTAGGGTGACATAATATTAAAAATAAAACTCAACGGTAGCTTCGGTAGCCTGGGCTGTACATGCAACTTTCTGCATATTTGACAAGATCCTTAGGTCGAGGCAGATGAGAAGCCAGACCTGTCCACCAAATAGAGAAGACAAGATTATTGAATGAAAAAAGTAACACACCACTAGCCAGTGTTGTCCAAACTGAAAACAATTCAAGAAAATCACCTAGATCATATGCCTTAGCCGCCACTTTAGCAGCAATGTGGGCTGATATCTTCCTGATGTTTGAGAATGGAGGGTAAATCAGTCCCTTATCATAGTTCTCTTCTGATACTTGTGCAGCCAAAGCTTCAGCTGTTGCAAAAGATGAAGGGTCAATCAAGCTATATATTTTATCCTTTTCTTTTTCCATACATTTTTCACACTCGTAATGTATTCCCAAGTTTCTAATCTCTTCAAGAATTCTTTTGTAAAGTATATATATATATATATTCATCATGCTCAAATGATCTAATCGCTCTAGTTTGTATGTACTCACAGGCTGCCAAGAGCATCTCATCCCGCACACGGATTGCACCAGAGATGATCAAACCCAAGCCAAAACCAGGAAATATGTAAGCATTATTGGCCTGAATTGCATTGTAGGAAAATAATCAAATTGTCAGCCACTAAATTTGGTAATGTGCGTCTGTTGAATAAGAAAATGCTTAGCGAGAGTTAAATTAAACCTGTCCAGGAACAAAAAGTTTTCCTTCATATTCAACAGGATCAAATGGGCTTCCACTGGCAAAGATTGCTCTACCCTGCAAATATAAGAGACATAATGTGGTAAATAAGAGTTTTGTTTGTTTATCTGCTTTAACATTGAACTCGCAATGTGATGTTTCTTGGGCCGTGTAAATATGAAATTAGGAAAATTTACCTTGCTCCATGAGTAAGCTTCTTCAGCTGTGCACTCAGATTGCGAAGTTGGGTTCGAGAGAGCAAGAATGAGTGGTTTCTACATGCCAAGAAATATCAAAACATCAGAGATATAATCTTCCCATGAGGTAGCAAAAAAATCAATAGAGAAAGCAAGAAAGAACCTCATTCAAGGATGCCATGGTTTCAACCACTTCCTTGGTAAATGTCTTCCCTACTCCAGATGATCCAATCAAAACGGTTGGCTTGATTGCCTGATGGAGTGAATTGTAAGATATTGTGTTCAAGAATCAAGGCCAATAAATATTAAATATTTTATGAAATTAAGAAAAAATCTGAGACACTTTCTTTACCTTCACAGCATCTAGAAGCCCCTTCACAGGTTCATGCTCATGGGCCCAAGGCTTTTTAAAGTGCTGAAGTGATTCCAGACGAGAGCTAACAATAAGCCCCTGGAACAGAAAAAACTTGTCATGAGAGGCTAAGAAGAAGAAAATGTCGAAGGAAAACAAAGAAGATTACACTCTTCTTGTTTTCCAGGAACCTCAGCCATTTTACCTTTGAATCCACAAGCCAGATCTTCTTGCGGGTCTCTTCCACTGGATCTTTTGTCTGGCCAACAAAATAGTATTTAGATACTTCATAAAAAAGCTTTGTATTGATATAGAAGAATACAAAGATCAAGCTATACCTGTTTTGAAATCTCTAGAGCAATCAGCTCTGCTATACCCGTTCCAGCCTTCAATACCCAAAAGATTAAAGTAATAAGAAATTTTCCTCCCAAAGAAAAAACATATTATCATGCATTCTCACAAATCATGTATTACCAACAGGAAAAATGATAATATGCCTACAGTCTCTTACCTCTCCAGCACCCAAGAATAAGAAGGTGTGGTCAGCTAAGGTTCCCCCAACTAATTTCAGGGATGCAAGCAATCCTGCTAATACAACAGATGCTGTGCCCTGCATTTAATAAAAAAGGTCAGAATCATTAACCTGAATTAAAATAAGAAACCATGCACAAGTTAAAAACTTTCAAGCTTTCTACCTGGATATCATCGTTAAAAACAAGATGAGATGAGCTGTATTTTGCCAGCAGATCAAATGCATTATGATTTGCGAAATCCTCAAACTGAAAAAGAATCAACAAAATTAGTAAAACAATAAATTCAAAGAAACTAAAGCCACTGCAGGTCTTGAATCTGATATACAACCTGTATGAGAACTTTCTCCCCGTAGTTCTGCTTAACTGCACGCATAAACTCGTCTAGAAGCTCCGCATATTCCTGAAGCACAATAAACAATTTATCATGTTAACGGAATAGAAACATCACAGTCAATAACTATTGTTAAAAAAATGTGCATTCATTTGTATGTATGTCTATGAGTGCCAAGGATGATCATACCTTCCCAGTTGCACGCCTTTGTCTAAGCCCAATGTAAAACTCATCATTCAGCAACTTCTCATTGTTTGTGCCAACATCAATGGTTATAGGCAAGCACTGAAATCATAGAAGATCCAGATAGAAAATTATTATTTGATATACTATGAGTGAGGAAATGGAAAAGGGAATAGAAAAAACAGTATAAGTAGTTCTTACAGATGAAGGGCGAACACCTCCTAAAGCGGTATAGAGAGAAAGTTTCCCAACAGGAATTCCCATTCCCTAACAAAATTTTAGAAAAAAATCATGTTATATTAATTGTGTTTGTGTGTAATGCAGAGTTAAGAGACAAATACTTTTATATTTTTACCTGGCAGCCAAGATCTCCGAGTCCTAATATACGCTCACCATCGGTCACAACTATAACTTGAATACTCTTTTCCGGCCAGTTTTTCAGTACTTCAAGGATCTTGCCTCTGAAGAATCCAAACACTTGGTATTTTCTCAAATGCTTAGCGAAAAAACAAAAAAGAGGAGTGACATGAAAAAGGCTTACTTTTCTTTCAAACTGATATATAGACCCTGAGGACGCCTAAAAATGCTTCCGTATTTCTGGCATGCTTCTCCAACCGTTGGAGTGTAAACAACAGGAAGCAGTTCCTCAACATTATCGATTAGAAGCTTGTAGAACAGCCTTTCATTCCTCTCCTGTCAATAGAGAAATGTGAGAGACAGTGAGAAACCCCGTAGCAATAGTTCTTGGTTATATGTTCCTACACTAGCATGTTGTACATATATATGTACTCATAAAATCCAATTTTTAAAGAGAGTACTACATAGTATATGCACTTTACATGAGAAGAATTATTATTCAGAAAGTACCTGAAGATCCATCAAGGCCATGTACCTATGCAGAGGAACCTCATACTGGCGAAGATTGTGCATCAACCTCTTTTCCTGAACATCAAAAATAGCAAGGGAATTTAGCCAAAAATCTTCAGTTTGCACTGCATCTAACATACCATTTGTATAAAGGATAAAGTTAGATGCAATTTTAAGTGTTTTGGTTCTGTTCTCTGATCAAAATATGAGTTTCATCTTGACAACATGTGCAGTTTTTCATAACGTAATTATCACCGTGAAAATCACATTCTAAATAGAGAACAATACTGAAACACGAGTCCAAGTTTATTCCTTATGTACACAATTAACTGAACGTGATACTAAGAAGCAAGTAACCTGAAGTTCCTGATTGAAGACGGCTGGAGGCAAAAGGCCACGCAAGTAATGAGCATCTCTCTCTCCCTCGGTAAAGGCCAGTCCCTTGTTGTAGCGTGGATCTCTCAGCAAACTGCATCCACTGTAACACAAAATTGAAAATGCTTGATTACCACCCAAACTCCAAGCAAGCAATTCAAACATTTCATAGCAACACAAAAACCACTCTTTGTGCAGATCGCACATAACAAGTCAACATAATAGCCTCATGAAGCATTACATTATCAAATAACTCCACTATCCGGTGATATGCCAAACTCAACCACACATAATCCAAGAATGCCATGAAATGGGGAAAAAAATTCAAATTTTTTTTTTGGAGATGATCAGAAAACAAGTCTAGCATAGCCAGAAAGAAAACTCCCGCATTAACCCGACCACATAAACAAATGACCACAGATCCAAATACGTAAATAAAAGCTACAAAAGACAAATTCCATGTTGTCTTTTTCGATATGTCAAATGCTAAGTAGTGATACCTGGCCACAGAGAAAGTCCATGGAGTGATAAGCTGGTCTTCTGTGGCACTATCCTCACCATACAAGTCCCTCACACCCCCACCATGGCCATTGCTATAATTCTTCGCCACAGAAACCTCAACACCGTTCTCCTTCAACGAATTGCTCGACATGATCCCTGCCAACAACTTCTGTATTACTCTCTGCCAATGTAAGCCATTAACCAAAACACAACAGTGAGAATTAAATTAAAGACATGTTCATGTAGCCATATTAACATATTCAATGAATGCAATACAAGCACTGATTTTCACCTCTTACTTGGTACCTACGCAGACAAAAACAAGCAGGAGAAAACAGAACGCGAGTTTGGTATGTGTCCGAAACAACCTTGTAATGAATCTATATATAAGCTTTCAAGACAATGCTTTTTATTTATTTTTTATTTCTTTTTACTTTGCTTTGGTTTGTTACGTAATAAAATTGGAGTTAGATTTCAACGTGAATGGGGACTGGTGGCACGCGTAATAATCAAATAACGAAGAATTTGCAGTCCTTGGTGTCTCGTACTACCCAACACTTGAATATTTGATTTCATACCATTCAGTGTTAAAAAAATGGTAAATGAATAACAAAAATAACAATGAGAATGGAAATTACTTTGGTGGGTGGTGCGAGAATATTAATATTGTGTCTATGACTATTGAGCCACATCATATTGACTTGGCGGAAGATGCAAGTGACGGTTTTGAAAAGTAGCTTTGCAGATTCTCCGCGTTTTGTTGAAGAGTCAATGTTGCCCTGCTCAGATTGCTCAGCCAAAATGGTTAAGGAAGACAGAAAAAAGTTCACACCTTTCCCATTCTGCTCCACACATTCCACTTTTAAACTTTAAGCTTTATATGCATGTTATTCATATTAAAATATTCACAAGCTACTTTTGCATATGCATAAAAACCATGATGATCTTCCTTTCAAAAAAATACCATGATGATCTGTGTAAAAGAAAAGTCTTTCTTTCCATCAACTTAATATTTTACTTGAAAAAATATATAAATTTACGATGATTACTAAGAATATAGTTTAATTTAATAAAAAAATACACATTATTAATCAAGTATTGTAATGTGATGTTTATGATAATTATCATACAAATTAAAATTATCATATATCAATTTAATATTGAGCAATAATATAAAAAATGTTCTATCAGTATATTATCTACTGTTAATGGTGTTATTTTATGAATAATACCTGTGTTGTCTTCTATGTTCATGTATTTAATTAAATATATTATATTTTATTGTATTCAATTTTGTCGGAATATTAAACAGTTTTTGTTTTCAACATTGTAGTCGCATTACAAACCCAAAGTCCATACTCAAGAATTGGTCATCCACTTCATGTTCAAATATTTCAAAACGCGTTCCTTGTAATTCAAAAATTAAAAATCAATTTAATGAATGTATTTAAAGAACTCTGATTATACATATTAGGCATCTAAATAGAATTTTTAATTAGAGTTGCATACGAATAAAATTAAATATTTTATTATAAATTTTATAGTTTTTAAAATATAAGTAGAGTTGTTTATTTAAGTAATTTTTTTAATTTTAAATAATTTTTTTCACTTTTAAACAACTCTGATATCATAATAAAATATTTATTTTTATTATTTAACAACTCTTGGTAACTTTTAATTGAAAACAATATTATGAGAGGATTAGAGGTAATAGACACGGATAATGTAACAAATGTTTCACAAAATCACAAGGTATTAATTTAATGCACATTAAACATTATTTAATATTCACTTTATTTTTTTAATTAGATTCAATAAAAGGAAAACTCAAAACTGTAAGGGCAAACTATCCATTTTAACAATGAAAATAGAAACCAGACACAACTCAATTTTAAGTGAAATCTTACATTTTACACGGCTAAAATAAATAATAAATTAAGCAAATTATAACTTTCTTAATCTAAAAAAATATCAAACATATATACATTTTTTATTTTACTAATATTTGTTGACGAGTGTTATCCGCTGATACACGCGGTCATCGATACATTCAAAATGATAAACTACATGTTAGAATTTCGTGTATTAATATTAGTTAATTATTATGTTTATTTTATTATTATAAAATATTAATTACAGACATAATTAGTATTTAATTTAATTAAAAAATAATAGTAGTTTATTTATCATATATTTTATGTGAATAAGATTGTATAACATATTAAACTTTCACTGGATATTTAAACAAAATTCAATTTCATACCGATAAAATTATATTAATTATTCTATTGTTTTGTATGCAGTGAGGAACTTTAATTGACAATTATACATGAGTCCTCCATTATTTCATTAAAAAAAATGGATTTTTATTTTTCTAAATTTATTTGTGTTTGTAATACAGTTTCATAAACTTGTCACGTACTGCGTTATGAAACTGTAAAATTAATTAATTTGGTAAAATATGTTTTGCGTCTCTCTAAAATTTCATATATATAAAATACGCGTTTCTGAAATTGTGTTATTTTTTTATAAAATTAAAACATTTTTTAGTTTCTTATAATAACAATAGATAAAAAAAAAAAAGTTATTGGGAACGAGGGGTGTAATTAAGGGTGTAAGTGATTTTGGTTAGATGGATTAAATCCAATTAGATTAGGTGAAATTCACTTTTCTTACCTAGTACTCTAATCTAATTATAATGGAGTAATTTATATTTGAGTAATTTATAAAAAAAATATTATTAAAAAAATATCAACACAAAATATTTTTATAAACTTATTAGATGAATAATATTTTTTATTATATATTTAATTGCATTAGCATCATAATTTTTGCACCTTAACAAACAACTATCTAATTCAACTTTAGTTGAATGCATTAGATACAACTCAATTAAAAAAATGTAATTGAGTTGGATAGGGTTAAGAGGGGTCTTTAATGGGATAATATCTATCTATATTTTCGGCTTTAACACATAAATTTACAATAAAATTTGCTTTGGATTATATACATAATTAACACTATATTAAAACGGTATCTATCCTTATTATTAATTATTACATCAAACGAATCTGTTCAATTAAAAAAAAACAAATGTATTTTATATTTTAGTGATTTTCGTATTTCACCCTTAATTTATAGTTCATCTAAAATTTATATATATAAAATACTGAACCAAAATTCAGATGGCTAAATTCTATTTTCTAATCGATTTCCTACTTTGACCTTTTTTGGATTGGTACCTAAAACAAGGGTAGAGAGTGTGAAAGCTTTAATCATCCTTTAGTCAAGGAAAAGTGGTTGCACGCCATTCAAGTCAAACCTGAATCAATATTCAAATGAGACTTTTTCCTTTTCTAGAAACCAAATAATTTTATTTTTGTTTATATTAACTTTGATATATGCTACATAAAAAATATCAGTAACAATTTATCAAACAAAAATTATAATCTCCACTTCTTATCTAATAATTATCTTTTGACTTATTTAATTTTAATTAATAACAAAATACATTTTTAAAAGAAATTAGTATTTTAAAAATCTGATCAATTTAACAATCTAAAAATCAATTTATTATTTTTAAATAATAAAATTTTAATTAAATAAAAAAATCAACTAAATTTTTAGGTTAAATAATAAAAAAAAATTATTTTTTTTTAAAATACAATATATTTTATTTTTTATCTCATATTAATTACATCAATTTTAAATAATAATTATTTTATTATATTTTTATCTTATTTTAATAATTATTTATTTTATATTATAAATATATTATTTTATTAAATTTAGTTACACCATTTTTAAAATATCAATTAAATCCTGGAATGATCTAATTTTAAAACCATTAAAAGAAATAATAAAATATATATTAAAAAAATATTATTAATATTCCTTATAACTATATTATTAATTTCTAGATATAAAATAAAAGGTAAATTAAGGATGAATAATAAAATAAAGAAAACCTAACTTTTTATAAAATTAATTAATAAGTGATTTGTTTTCACTCTTATTAATATTTGTAGAAAAGTTTATTCAACCAATCTCCCTACATTTTCATCTTTTGTTTAGTTTTATTTTTTGTGTGTGAGTGAAGGTTTGAAAACAAAAGAAAAAAATAAATGAAAGGTTATGGTGTCGCAAGATGTGCTTTTTTACTTAGCCACTCCGCACCTCCCCACAATATTTTGGTCACTAGATACACCTCCCTTTCCTAGTAAGGAGTTTTTTAGGTACTACCTAACATTTGCAAAGTTCAAAAAGTCACAAATATTTTTAATTTTCTAACAATTTTTATTTTTTTATCTTTTGTTTATTCTCAAATACGTTATATCAGTATACATTTATAATATATAAAAATATTTAATTTCATTTTTTAAAGGCATTATTATATGAGTGTTTATAATTAAACCAATAAAAAATTTGATATAAAAAATGAAAAAATTAATTAAAATAAAAAATTATTCGGTTCAATTTTTTATTTAGAGTAAAAAATTAAATCAAAATTATAATATATATTATTAAAATTAAAATATAAAATAATATTTTATATGAATAAATTATTAATGATTTATAATTTAAGATATATATTATTATTAATTAATTTAATTTAATATAAAAATAAATTAAAATTATAAATATCAAAATCAATTATCCATGATATTTTAATAATATTTTTTTATTTAATAATTATTTTATTATAATATATATAATAATTTTATAATTAAAAATAGTAAAAATTATTGAAAACAAAACATAAAATATTGATTTAATTTTATTAGATTTAAAAAAATGCAACACTATTACCCTTATTTTTAGTTTATTAAATAATTTCAATTGAGTTTCTCAAGTATTAAATATATGATTTTTAATTTCTAAATTTTTAATTGGATTTTTTATACATCACAATAATACAGTTGTAGTTTCTTAAACGTTTTATAAACTATAGAATAGGAAATATTCGCTTGTAATTATATTGAGCATAATTAGTATTTATACCGGTTTCCAATTAATAAGATGATGGACATCATACAATCTTATATGGTATCACAGTCTCTGAATGATACCTGATACCTTGCCTCCTTCATTTGTGTTATCAATCCAGGCCCAAATGTTGAAACTAACCCTATCAAAAGGTTATCAAAACACCTAGCTGAGCACAATGCGTAGAGTGGGGTTGTTGGTGAGGGAATATTTATGTACGAGCTGTCAATAATCCAGAGGGTTTGTCGAGAGTTTGTTATTATCCATTCTATTTTATATTAGTAATCAATGAATGAATGGAAAAAGAGAAGAAAAAGTTATTATCATTTATTTATTCTTTTTTTCATAGGAGGCTTATTGATATCGAATCAAGGTAATTTCTTTATCATATTATGTGTTTTCGTTCTTCGTATTCATTACGAGAGACCATAATACTTATTCTGAATCCATCATAAACTTGAAAGAAACTAGTATGAAGTTCACCCTTAATCAAAATGAGATTACTATCCCATTGGAAAAAAACTATTTTAGCACTTAATAATTTGCATTTACCTATTTAAAGGTTTAGTTAAATAAATAATAGTATGTAACACTTCAATATTACTCTATGCTTTTTTTTACTCTTTTTTATAAAAGAAAAATATTGCAGCAGCAACACCATTTATTTATTCGTGAGAGTCCTCTTATTCTTTTGTATGCAACAGTGGTATCAGAGTCACTGCAAATAAAATAATGGCAAATATTTTTGTCCAACCATCCATTCCTCACTTTAATGGATACTACTATATTGATAGAGAACTTCTTAAGATCCAAAAAGTATTGACAAGTTGTTTTTTAAGACATTCAGGAACCAGCAGATGTCACAACAATGACAGAGGTTCAGAAAAAGGAGATAGAAGGGTTGTGCTTGAAAAATTTAAAGGTAAAAAATTACCCTTTTCAAGCAATTGATC